TTTTTTTTTTTTTTTTTTTTTTGGTGAATCTGGGAGTTAAAAATGCCTTTCCCCTGCGATGAGATTTTGCTCTGCACTTCCTCTTTCTAGAATTCACAATCCCAGCAAAAACCTAATCAGATGCCAAGTCAGCATTCCTAAGCGCGCCAGCACACCACCCTAAGCAAAGCAGAACTGCCACCTCCCTCCTCATGCCTGAGGCTGATATCAGGGCACCCTGACTCTCCCCTGCCTTCCTCCTCCGGGACGGGCTCAGACGGGCTCAGACTCCTTCCGGACAGGGACAACATCCTTCTACCGCTCAATTCGCCACCTGATGCAGCGCAGGCCCACAGTCAATGTTTGAACGTTAAAAGGGCAAACATTCACTCTTTACAGGTAAGTAACTCTGCACACTGAGCATAGCTTTGTATAAAATCTTTAGAATAACAAGTGAACAGTATCTGTGAACACATTAAAAGGCACAGAAGTACCACTTCTAGTTAGGTCTGCAGAAGTCTTAGTAGGCATCAAAAAAGTATCTACGGGGATGTCTTATTTCAACATTTGACATAGTTGCTAAAAATTTGAAGCAAATGTCCATAGCCATCAACAAAGATCCTAGTAAGCAAATTAGGGTGAGTTCCATCTGCTGTAGGTCCCTTTTTCTAGTAGTTAGAAGGAGGAGACAGATCTATTCACACTGACACAGAAAGAGATATATAAGTTGTAGGATGACAGTTACAGTAAAATCTTAACCATTCCTCTATAAAAGAAAAATGTATTTTCCAGGCATAGGGGGAAAAGTCTGTAAGAAAGCCCCCCCTACATTTTATCTGAGAGCATGGGACTAGAACCAAGGAGAAAATGCCATCCTTTTCTGCGTGAATCAATCTGTCACTGAATTTATTAGAATGTGAGATACTTCTTAAGACACAAACATAATCCTTAAGTGAAAAGTTACTTTTATACTAAAATTTGCATTATTTTATCAGTTTCTTGTTGAGAGCACTGTTTTTTTTAAGATTTTTAAATTCTGGGTTTTTTTTAAAGATGAAATATTATTCACTGCTCTATTTTCAGCACCTAGAATAAAGACATATAGCAGACAGTTAATATCTGCTGAATAAATATAAGTTGTGCTGGGAGGGAAAAAAGTATCTAACAGCTGCTTCACAAACTCACAAAGGAAAAATGTCACTTGCAAAAGGTATCTTAACGGTATGGTTACCAAACTACAGGAGTAAGGCTTTTTATAAAAAGTAAAATATTTTAAAAAGCACACAAACTCTCATCACATGAGACATCTTCAAACTACTAAGTTTTCCAAGAAAAGAGCACCTTCCAAATCAATTAAATTCACAATCTTCAGTCTGGCATGTGCCTGGTCAGAGTACAAGTAATAAAAAATATGCGAAAGCTTTGGAGGAAAACACCAATCCTCTAATAAAGGCAAACAATGCCCAATGAACCTTAATTCTGATCTATTTAAAAAGTGCTCCTTTGGGAGGTAATTAACTTTTAGCTTGGACTACGGAGATTACCTTCATCTAAAACCAAAGCCCCTAACAAGCAGCCTCTTTAGCTTCAGATCCCCAAAGATGGGAGGCCCTCCATGACTGTTGATGCTCTGGGAGAGGTGGGATACCTGTGAGACAGACAGACCTAACCAAGGTTTCAGGACTAAGGAAAATGTCTTGACTCAGTTCCAATTTAAGGCCAATCACCGTACCCTTTTTTAAAGAAAGATAGTGAATATTTGAATGTTAATTCATTGGAAAAGATTATTTATATAAACAATGGCCACTATGGAGCTCAGCTCCCGCCCAGTTGCAGTTTCCTCCCCAAAGGAAGGCACTTTGACTGTTTTGGGGGAGAGGGGGTACACTCGAACCAGCAACCTACTTAATTCAAAATACTCCTTAGATCTTTTTTTCAACCACTACTCTTACCTTGAAAAATTCCATTGAGAGGATGATTTAATCCTCCTTACGAAAACACAAAGTTCCAAATAGGCTGTCACCAAAAACCAGTAATAGAGGTGCGGTTAAAATTCATCTCTGCCTAGTTAATGTAACTGGTGTTTAGCAAGTGAGTGAATCACAAGTGAATAAAATACCAGCTCATTCACACTGCCTCTGCCATTTCTCCAAAGCCTACGTGTTCTTTAAACACTGGAAATAAAGGCTTCCAATGTCTGCCCAGCTTGAGATATTTCTCCCTCTGCCTTTGACTGCCTGGATAAAGCTGCTTTAAGTTCACTGGGGCATAAGCCACCCAGGCGCTCCAGTTTACTTACTAAACCTGTTACCCAAAGGTTCCAGGCTCCGGCCTCCGCACCCCTGCCCACTCCTCCACTCTGACAGCCCGTCCTCGTTTCTCGTTTCTGGGGATCAAAGTCCTAGATATGGAACAGGTGCGCAGTTAAGTACCTGATTTTGCCATTTCACGGCACTGCAGAACTAGAAGAAAAAAACAAAAAACTTTGCAAACCACCTAAAAACAATGCCTGTTTTCACTCTGGCTAATAAACAACTACACATGACGGCTTTTAAATTAGCATACTTTCCTTCGAACGAATCCTACGGAACTTGGAAGCCACACCAAGCCGCCGCGAAGCCAGCCTGCCGGGGCGCAGGGGGCGGCTGCGCGCAGAGTGGCCGGGGCCGCGGCCGAGGTTGGCCTGCCCGCGCCCCTGCCCAGGGCCTGGGGGGAGGGGAGAGGGGAGAGGGGAGAGGGGCCGCACCCGGGCCGGGGAGGGGCGCCGTTTGCCTGGCAACCGCACCGGCTTACTGCCTCGGGGCCGGGGGAGGGGAGGGCAGCGCGGGGACTCCCGCGCGCGGGCGGCCACGGCCGGGGAAGCGCCTCCCGGGCTCGGCGGCCGCGGGCCCGGCTGGCGGGGCCCTGCCCGGCCGCGGCGCGCGCCTACCGTGTATCCGCGCTCCAGGTCACTCTCCTCGTAGCGAAAGGACGGAATGTAGACCTCCATGGCCGCGCTAGCCGGCCGGCGGGGGGCGGGGCAGGGCGGGGCGAGCTCTCGGCCGCCGCCCCGCCTCCCTCCGCTCCCGCCGGTCCCGAGGCCGCGCCGCCCGCGCCGGAGCCGCAGCCTCCCCCGCCGCGCGCCGCGCTCCGGAGTCGCCGGGGGCCGGGGGCCGGGGCGGAGGGCGCAGGCGCGGAGCCCCGCTCGGCCGGCTGGGCGGTGGCGATCAGCTGGGCCCGGGAGTCCGCGGAAAGGGGTGTGCGCGCCTCCGCGCCGGGCCACCCCCGGTCGCCCCTGCCCCGCGGCTCGGCCGGCGCCGCGTTTGCAGTTTGCTGAACGCCACGCTCCACCGACCGCAAGGCCGCGAGGAATCGGAGAGCACGGAGCGTCTTGATTTTCTTCTGATGCTGGAATGTACGTTTCTGTTCTGCACTGGCATTCACAGCAGTGAACCCCCCAGCTTCTTCCAAGACTCCTGTCCGCCTTCGATTCCAGGGTCAGCGTCTGGTTCTGAGTCAGCCGGCGAACCTGGCCGTGATATCAGGATCCGGAGCCCAAAGTCGGGTCACTGAGACAGACGCACCAATTTTAAGATGCTGCCTCTAAGTAACTGCATAGGGCTTTTAACTATTTTAGGAAACAGAAGACAAAAAAAAAAGGTGGGGTGAAGGGGACAAGGAATGTAGGAAGGTAGGATGCTGAGGGCAGAATTTGCCCTGTGGGCCAGGACCTAAAAGCCTGAAAGTAGCTAAAATATGAAGTGTTTCAGTTAAGGAAATTGATTATTAGGTTACCTTTGTAAACTCTTGAGTTTCTTCCTGAGGTCAGAGCACAGGCAGAGTAAAAACTTAGAGGTGACATGTGGGTCACGGAGAAAGGACCTCAGCCATTAGCTTTTTAGGCTGCGAACAACTGCTCCTGATGCGCTTTGCCTTTGAGACCAGGAGGCATTTCAGCTGGACAAACTGAAGTTTATGATGAGACGCTGTAGTGGAAAAGGGGACTCGATCGGGCCCTTTGCATTAAGAACTTGCCTCATGTAGGACCCGCAAAGCCTTAGCTGAAGACACCCCCACCCCCAACCAACACACTTAGAACTCCAAGATGTGTCTGGCTCTCAGAACTCCAAGCTTCAGCATCAGAACTCCAAGCCTTGGCATAACTTGTGCCCTATGACCACACTGCTTTTCTCTTTTCTCCTTTTGATGTAACCATAGAGCAGTATGAACTCTATGCTGTATGAATTCAGGGCCCAGCTTGTATATTCCCTTAAGCCACTGGTGACTCTCAGACTGCACTGTATGGTTTATTTATCTGCCTCAACCACTGGGTTTTTAGGGCAAGTCAGTACCTTAAAAAAATTTTTTTTTTGTCCCATGCTTGGCATAGTTAGTGCCTGGCATATTTTTCTTGAGCTTTGTGTGAGCATTATACTCATCTTTCCAAAACCAGGTAGTATGCCAGATGCAATTACAAGCCATGTCTCATTACAAGCTTTATAACGACCCCATAAGGAAGTGTTTTGTGCAATAGGATTTTCAAGGTCTAAGAAGTAGTGTTTCTGGTTTTTATTTTAAAAATAATAATGGCTTCTTATGACAGAAGAGTCCCCGGAACAATTTCAAAATTGGTTGAAACAAGTTATTAAAAGTCCTGGTGGGTGATGTGAGCCAGAATTATGTAGTCACAAAATTGTGCTACAGATTGCTGATCAGGTTTTTAATATGTTTTCTATACTGCCCTTCCCCAATAGCCTGCTAGTAGCCTGGCATGTCTGTTTTTGTCTGGCATGGCTCACCTATCTATCCACTGGACTTAAGTGGCAGAAATGTGCAGGTCCATGAAGATCTAACAGATGGTCCAGATGAAACCTATTTGCTGTATTCTACTAATAGCTGGGTATAATTTAATTTGGCCTTGCTTAAAATATATTCAGATTTTCAATATGTGGGTATGTTCTCGAGGGTCTTTCAGCTCAGCCATAAGTGGTTGTATTATAATTTCAATTACTACAGATGGCATAGTTGAGACTCAGAGAGGATCAATAACTGAAATTTATAATAGTGTAGTTAATAATCAGAATCAGAACAGCTAACTTCCTAACCAAATTCTGTGGATAACACCAAGTAGGAAAGAAAAGAATAGCACTAAGGTAAGGGAACGTGTATATCTATTATCCTGCTGTTACTACATATGTTTTAGTCTGACTACAGTTTGTGACAGGCCAGCTAGATACCATCTCAGGACATTAATAAAAATACATGGCAAATACATATACAAGATATTAAACAGTATCTGTAAATAAAAGCAAAAAATTTAAAAAGCAAAATAATAAAATTCTGCTGAAATCTGGGTATAAATTCCTTACTCTCAAAATACCACATTTACCTAGCACTGGGTAGAAATATATTTTGGCAAGTTTAATGATAAATTGCTTTAAATATCAACTTATATTAGAAGTTTTGACCAAAATCTATCTACAATGCATTACACATTCAACGTTCAATTATAAGACTAACACAAAATGACCAAATAAGACTTATCCCAGGAACATAAAGATGGCAAACATTAAGAAATCTGTTGTATTCACATTGTCAGATTAGAAAAGAAAATAATTGAGTATCCCAATATAATCTTAAAAAACATTAATCAGTACACCTCTTCCTAATAATACTTAATAGTCTAAAAATAGAAAACATCTTTAATTTGATAAAGGTTACTATAACCTCATAGCAAATATTAGATGAGGAGGCATCAAAATAGCGTCAATAACTTTATCACAAATATTTTTTACATTTTGCTGGGGTGGTAAGCCGAAGCAGTAAGACAAGTAAAACAAGAGATACAGATATTGGATAGGAAGATGGAAAACTGAAAGGTCCATGTAGATGAAATGATCTACGTAGAACAGAATCAACCAAAAAATTTAATTTGGCCTTGCTTAAAATATATTCAGATTTTCAATATGTGGGTGTGTGTTCTCGAGGGTCTTTCACCTCAGCCATGAACTAATGAAAGAGTTTCATAAGGTGCCAGATATTAAACCAACATATACAAATCAATAGGTTTCTTACACAGTAGCTTTCATACACACCAACAGTAACCAATTAGAAAATAACAGAAAAAACCAATGAATTTTATTAATAGCAGCATTAAAAACTTACAATGTCTAAGGATAAACTTAACAGTAAATGTGCAAGACTTACATGAGAAAACTAAAAAACATTATTAAAGGACATAAAAAGATATGAAAGTAGTTATACACATTCCCCAATGGGAAGAATCATATTCTCAATGGGAAGAATCAATATTTTAAGGATGTAAGTTTTCACCAAAAAGAGTTGTAAAGGCAATCGAAGCCCCAATGAAGAGAAATTATAAAATTCATTTGGAAAATGAATATCCAGGGTAAATTTGAACAAGAAGGAAAACGAATGTGGGGATAAGTTAATCTGCAGGACATCAAAACATACCATAAAGCTATTTAAGTCAGAATGATCCTGGAGCAAATGATCAAAGGAACCAATAGCCCAGAAAGAGACTCCTGAATATATGGCAACATAGATAGTATGAAACAACAATAGTATTTCAAACCCTTGGGGGTAAAAAAAATAACTGTTCAATAAATGGTGTTTAAATAATTTGAGTGTTTAAATGGTGAAGTTTTAATAAAAGTTAAAAGTAGTTTAAGTAAATGGTATAACAAATAGTTTTTGGATAGCTAGGCATCCATTTGGGAGAAAAGTAAAATAGGTTTTCAAAATGAATTCCAATGTTGACTATACTTCAATTAAGAAAAAAAGTTAAGAATTAATAAAATACAATAAAATGAACTGCATATGCAGTAAAAAAGGTCTATGAAAACACAAAGCTATAAAACCTTAAGGTAGACAAAGTCTTCTTATTACAGTATACAAATGTCAGAAGACATTAAAGAGTGTATTTTAGACTAATGATTTAAAATTAATGTAAGCCAAAGACCACAAAGTTTAAAAAACACTCAACAGAGAAAAATGTTTGCAACATATATAACCAAGGGTTAATATATATTTTATATGTGAAAACACTAATTTTTTTTAATGGCACAAAAGAAAGTGGATATAGTGTGAGCAGGCAATAATTCCCAGAAGAATGCAAATGGACCAAAAAAAAAGAAAAGGAAAACCTGTATTAGTTATTTATTACCCGCAAATTCAACTACTTAAAGCAGTAACTCCATATTATCTCCCACAGTTCCTGTGGGTCTGGAATCTGGAAGCAGGTGAGGCATCATAGGTTGTAGTCATAAAGGTTCACCAAGGCTACAGTCATCTCAAGACTACTGGGCTGCAGGAACCACTCACAAGGTGGTTTACTCACAGGCTTGGGAAGTGAATGTTGGTAGGAGGCCTCCATTCCTGGCCTCCTGATCTTCTCCACAGCATGGCCTGCATGTCTTGAAGATATTGAGGCTAGCTTTCCCCCAAAGAAAGAAATCCAAAGAGCAGCTTAGGACAAAGGCCACAATGACTTTTTGTCACCTCCCCTCAGAAATCATACTCTTCATTTCTGCAGTATCTTAGTAAGTACACGGTAGCCTTCTTTAGTGGCTTAAGTCTCAGGAGGTAAGAATTGATGGGGGCCATCACGGAAGCTAAATACCACATAACCATGAGCGGAGATACTCAAATCCAGTAGTAACCAAGGGAATACAAAGTAAAATAATGAGATATCATTTTTCAACTTTTAGATTGGCAAAAATTTCAAAGGTTATACCAGTGTTGGCAAGGATGTGGGGGAATGAGTACTATTGGTAAGACAGAAAACCAAGACAGCCTTTTTGAATGATAAATTGGCAGTAGCTATTACAGTTTTAAAGGCACCATATTTAATCCAAGAAGTAGCTTCCCTATGGCAGGAAAGTTTTGCGCAAGAATACTGCATTGTTTATAATGGCAAAAATTTAGAAACAAATTCTATCATAGATAAAATAAGTTGTTGCAGTTTTTAGATACAGAGATTTCTGGGTTAAGATAGCAAGTTGAACATAACACAACTAATTTCACATCTTCTTCCAGCCCTTGTAAAACTACAACAAGGACTCTTCCTTTTTTTTTTTTAACCCACAAAGATAGGAAGAACAGGGGAAAAGAGAGCAGCAACAAGATTTCTGTCAGCTAGAAAGCAGATGGATGAGAAGTAACTGGTTTAGCTAACAAGAAAATGGCAAATTTAAGCCAGCTGTGGGAAAGCTGAAAAATCAACCTGATTTACACAGCACAAGATCCGAAAGGCTCAGCAACAGGCAAGAGCAGGTACCTCTAGAATGGCAGGTTGCTGGCTAAAGTAAGGATTGAGTGAAAGCTGAGAAGCAGGAAGTTTCCTTAGTCCCCTCTTCCAACTCTACAATTCTGGAGGATATTTCCTTGAGAGAGGGTAAAAGAGAGTCTTGCATTGGAAATTTCCTGGCCCAGCTGAGTAGAAACTTTTACCAAAAAAACAAGTGGAATCTGGGGTAAATGACCATATACATATTGGGTGATGGATGCTGAACCCTTATAGAGGCTGGCAACTACACATTTCCTTTCTATACCAGAAACAGGGAAAGTATTCCTTGGGAAATCTGACCAGCCCAAGGGGAAAAATATGGAAACAATATTGGAATTTCCCTACAAACAGCACAATGACATCACTCTTCAGTGACTCTCAAATTTGGCAGGCCCATGAGTTCACTCAGAGCTTCCAATCAGCTTTCATTTCCCACTGCTAAACTTGATGAGACATCCTGGCACTAACAGACATCTGAGGAAAGCATCTAACAGGGCAGAGAGACCAAAATAGAAAAATAATTTTGAGGAAACAGAAACAGGGAAGAAAAAAATATTATAAACTCTCAGGAATATCCTCAGAGAGATATAAGAAAACATTGCATCTGTGAAATAAGAAGCTACTTAAAAATAGGATCAATCAGAAAACAAAAAAGCACATCAGAGAGTAGAACAAAATGACAGAGATGGAAAATAGGAAAGAAAAATAATAGCTTCAGTCCTGGACATCCAATATCCAAATAATGGGTCTTCCAGAAAGAGAAGACGGAGAATATAGGAGGGAGAAAATTACATGAAATAATGCAAGAAAACTTCCAAAACTGAATGTCACATTTCCAGATGGAAAGCAACGCACATAGCTTGAAAACATATGTATACTATAGCGGTTCTTTGTGAGATTTGAGAACACTGGGAATACAGGAAGATCCTATAGTCTCCAGAGAGGGTGAGGGGTAGAGTGGGATACATATCATATACAAAAGATCAGAAAACAGAATGGCTTCGAAATTCCCAACATCAACACTGGAAGCTGGAAGACTGGAGCAATGTCTTCAAAATTCTAGAGAAAATTATTTCCAACATATACACAGATACACTGTCAAGGATTAAGGTAAAATAAAGTTTCAAAAGTTTAGTTTGTATCCCCCCATTTTCAGGAATCTAATGTGTGTATCCATCAAAATGAGGGGACAAATCAAGAAAGAGATAAAAAGGACAGGAGACATGACCCAGAGGAGGGGTAAGGGCATCTTCAGGACCAGCACAGCACACTCGGCAGAGAATAATAACCAGTCCACACTAGAGCAACCTAACTGAAGAGGCAGACATCCCTAGGGCTGGTCCACGGTGCTTTCTGCCATATCTTTTTAACCTAAGAAATGATTGGTGAATAGACAACACCAACACAAGGGACTAAACCAAGAAAGAAGAGGCATGAGACCAAGATAGAGGGAGTAAATCCAAGCGGAAGGTAAAGGCAACTCCAAAGCTGACAGCAAGGGAAATCCCAGGACAAGACTTCAACAGGCTGGAAGAGTACCAGTCCAGAGAAAATGGAAGTCCCCAGGAGAGAGGACCGTAAGGAAAACAGCCGGAATGGTTATCTTACCTGACATGTGCAGTCTTGTGGGAAAGTGCACTAAGAGACTACGGGGAGGTATGGGAAAAAGTAGCAATAGATCACACACACACAAAAATAATCAAGGCATGTTTTAATTCAGGAAAAAAAAATAGGGAAAATGAGGGAAGCCTAAGAAACTTTCACAACCAAGAGGAGCAGAAGGAGACATGACGACCACATGTAATGTGCTGTTCTGGATGGGATCTTACAACAGGAAAAGGACAGTAGGCAAAAACTGAGGAAATCTGAGTAAGGTCTGGGCTCTAGTTAATATGGTGTCAGTATTGCTTCATGCACTGTAACAATTGTACTATACTAACGTAAGATGTTAAGGAAAACCAGGGGAAGAATATATGGAAACTCAATGTATGTACTATCTGTGCAATTTTTCTAATAATCTAATAATGTTCCAAAAATAGCTTATTTTTTTTTAATGGAAGAAAGTGAACACTAAATATACAACTTCTAGTGGTGAACAGTATGGGCAAAATAATGCAAGTTCTGGATACCAGTTTACCCAAAAATTTTAACACAGCTACACAGGAAGTGGGGGACACAAGTGTGTGAAGCACACAAATGGCAGAGTAAGAGAATTTACTCTCATTACCACAAAAAAATGGTTAAGTAGATGATGTCTAAAACTGATTATTCAAAAAGTAGCAGTATATTCATTTTATTTATAAATTTGAAGGCATAGAAATGGCAGACAAAACAGCTAAGAGTACAAAGAGGTTTTCTTGAAAGAAAATTGGGGACATGTGGGGATTGAATCACTGGATTTTGTTATTTAGCCTTTCTGATGCTAGTTTATTTTCAAACTCTGCTTGTATTAATTTGATGAAATAAACTATGTGAAAAATCAGAAGATTAAAGTCGATTTTTATCTACTGACTTGCAAAAGCTTTCGATACTCAGGCAAATCAAAAAATATATTTGAGCAATAATCCTCCTAATCACACTACTCAAGAGCCCGAGGCAATTATTTGCTTTATTGGAGCTATTTTTATTTGTGTCAATACACTAAAAATTAATGTCATTTCTGAAACTTAGGTTTCCTCCTTTCACTACTTTCTCTCCTAGTCCCTTATTTCCAGAAAACCTATTCTTTCACCTTTTCACATCTACATCCCCCAATTTGTGCCTGTCACCTCTCTAGCTTTATTTTATCTCTACTCCTTAAAATTTTTATTTCAAGTCCTTTTCCTCTTGACTTTCTCTCACATCCACCAACAATCCCTGATCCTGAGAGTCCAACAATGTTTTAGGTCCTGAACAAATAGAAGCTTTCCGTGGATGGCTTCATTGTAAATTCATGATTTCCAAACTCACTTGAAAGCTACTAGTCATCAATACTCCTCTTACTCATCATCTCTGTTGTTTTCTAAAGACGGTGTAACTCTGGGAGAGGAAATCCCAGAGCAAAATACGTAACTGAAACCGAAATCAGTCAAAGGGAGAAACAAAGTTTAACACCCGTTTATTGCTTACAAACTGTGGTCCAGGGGCCATCTCTCCTGCTCCGGCACAAGCAAGCCAAACCTCCCAACCTCTCAGTTTCAGATAAACCCTAGTTCGCCCAGGAAATTACCCACTGCTATGGAGATGGACTACTGCTCTCCACCCCTTAGTAACGCCTGTTTATATGTAGATGCACTAAAGCCAGGCGAGAGATTCTGGAATATTACAGTTTTACACACAGATGGACATTCTTCTTTGGCCTTGTCTTCTCTGGCTTTCTTGCTGACCTCACTCTCTGATGATGGCTTAATTTCCTGTTTCACCAGCAAAATAAAAATGTTCCTGCTTTATTTCCAAGTATACCCCTCCCCCCTTCCTTTTTGTTTAGAGGAAGAAACAACCCTTCTTCTTTCTGTGAGGCTCTTTCCTTCTGCCTGACTTAGTCACTTCCATTCATCCCTTACATACTAGTTTTACCCACTGATTTTGTCCACAACAGGCTCATCTCGTTCTCTTTGTTCTCTGAGAATGACTTCATTAATACTCATGGTTTTAAGGCATGGAGCATTTTTGCATTTCTGAGTTGATGATGCAGTAATCTCATTCTGGGTTCTGTTTTCATACATTTTCATGTTGGTTGTCCAAAGGTACTTTAAAAACAACAGGCCCCTATGCATTTCACCTTCCTTCCTGCCTATACCTCCTATGTCAATCAAAGCAACAGTATTCTGTCAACAAAGCCAGAAACCTGGGCATCACCCCCAACAACTGCCTTGTCCTTTTCTGACACCTAAACCATTGCTTCCGTGCCTGACATGTAGTAGAGACTGCGCAGCAGCTTACTCAATGAATGAATGAATGAAAGTTGCCTGTTTATTTCCATTTTCCTAAGCTATCTCCTTTTCTACTTCCACTGCAGTAGCCAGACCCTTACCATCACTGGGCTGGATGACTGCTGCTCCATTGTCATCACGAACTTTTTTTTCTGCATTACTACTTCCCTTAGCACACATTTAGGGTTATGTGTTTGAGTGTGGAAATAAACTTCTCTTTTCTAAGCAATTGCCACATTACCCTATCACCCTTCTTTTCCACTGTTCCCAGGCTTCTTTATAGGTCTGTAGCTCATTTCCTGACAAGACTCATTTAACTGGAGTATCTTTGTAGTGGGAGTAGTTCTAAACTTCTGTCACTGATTTTGACTACACTCATTTTCCCCCTTCACCTCTGATCCTCAGCTCCAGGACTCCAAGAGGTTTCAGGAGCAGACTGTTCTGCAAAGGGAACCTTCCCAGTAAGCCCATTCAGACCCTTTTCAAGCATACACCCATTATTTTGAAGAAGCCCTAAACACTAGTGACACAATCAAAATGCCGGTACTTTTTTTAGACTGACTGAGGTATAATTCAGGAAACAATGATGCTTAGTTGCTAATATTTATTAGGCACTTGCTGAGAAATTCATATAAATTAACTTAATCCCCTTAAGAAGACCTAATTAGGTACTATGATTACTTTCCAGTTTACAGATAAGGAAACTACATTTTAGAGAAAAATAAGTGGGCTCAAAGTCAATGGTGTAGATTGAGCCAGAGTTCAAACCGGCAGGCTACATGCATTACCATGTTCCCAGTCACTCCTTCATTCTCTTGGCGGTGCCACAGCAGGCTCTACAAGAAATAACAAGGGCAGTCATTCCTCAAGATGCAAAAAACCTGGGCAAAGCAGTAGGACCAGACAATTATAATGCAAAGTAGATATTACAGTTGAAAGGTGCAAAGTGTTACTAGAGTCCTCCTGAGAGATGAGAGCTTCCTTCCTTAGGAGACTAAGGATATATGGAAGATGTGAACTTTCGGCTTTCAAGTTTAATAAATGGATACTATTCAAATAATCACTAATAACGGGGAAAAAGGAACTCAAAGGAACCTCAACAATCCCAATGACCAGAAGAGAGACAGCATGCTCACAAGACAGGGACATCATGTGATTAGAGCAAAAGCTGGGTGAAGGTAAGGGGTGAGATCAAGGCAGGAAAAGTAGTTTGAGACCAGATTCTGGATAATTTGGACATTATCTGTAGTCCGTAGGTAGTCTACCAATAATTTCTGTGCATAGAACTGTGATGAGTTCTTTTCTCGTTTTAGCAGCCAGTTATAGGCTGGCAGAGACTGGAAGAATGTGTATCCCACAGGAAACTTAAAGACAGTTCTGGTCCATGATCACAGGATCTTGACCCTAGGAGAGAAACAACAGAAATGAGAGAACATATTTAAGATACAGAAATCAACTTAAGTTGGTCTTGGCAACACAATACCTAAACAGTGTAACTGTAAACATAAGCATTTTGCATTGTATCTGTTATAAGAGGCTGGGAAACATTTTTAACTGAAATTTAGAAAGCAAGTTTGGTTGAAGAGCCTACTGTCATGCATGGACACACACATTTATGTACACTTAGAACTCCACACACACATTTCCACATATATAGTGAAAACACCTGAAATAAAGATCTAGGAAATAAAATATAGGTTAAAATCAAGATAACTCAAGACTTGACTATGGAAGCAGTAAGAAGTCAATTTATTGTTTAGTTTTGTTAAATTTTGTCTGATTTAAGTATTTATTAAAGTTACATATGTATAAACTTAAAATAGAACTTTTTCCCCCTTAAAGTACTCCCCTAAAGCGATTTATCCCAAAACTGACCTTAATTTAAAAAGTTTGCTGTGTGTTAACAGGTGGGCAGCTTCATCTTGAATTGGATTTAATTACAGCTTCCACTGACCCAGTTAAGTACTTAAAATTGTCTTTAGAAAATTGAAAAGTATGTGATGAGCATTAATTTCATTGCATTAAAATATCTGACAGCAAGCCACAACTTTCCTGTTTTGTACAATCTTCTATTCTTAGTCACCTCTGAAGTAAGTTTGAAGAAATAAATTTCTTATCCCAAAGGACTTCCTAGAATTCTGTTAATGAGTAGAACAGGAATCTTGAAAACTATTATGTATTTTCATGGAGGAATGTTCACACATGGTTAACACACAGATAGAAATCTGGATGTGCTTATCTGTCAAGTGAGAAAGTAGTACTAAACAGTCTCTAAGTTTTCTTCTCGCAATACAAATTACCATTTATTCATAGTAGATACCCAGTACCCATTTCTCACAAAGCACTATTACTACAGTCTTACATCTGAATTGTACCTGTTCTTTGAGAACACCTACTAGTCCCTTTGATGTAGCTTTGGATTCTTCACTGAATTTAAGATGATAAATGACCAACTAGCTGTTGAACTTACGCTCCATCTCCATAGGCATTGTCTAAACCTGTGCTGTCCAATATGGCCACTAGCCACATGTGACAAATGATCACTTGGAACGTGGCTAAGTCTGAATGAAAATGTGATGAGAGAGTTAAATACACAATGGATATCAAAGACTTGAAAACAGAATATAAAGCACGTACATAACTTTTAATATGTTGGGTTACACATTAAAATAGTATTTTGGAGCTACTTGGTTAAATATTAATTTTACCCATTTTATTCTTCAGAATCTGGCTATAGAAAATTAAAAATCATGTGTGACTCACATTTTCTATTGGTTTCAACTCTAAGGACTTCGTCCACAGATTACCTGTCTTCATGGCTCGGATTACAAAGATTACTTACATCTCTTAGAATTCCCCTCTTCTTGCTATTTCTGTCTGGCCAACCATCTCCCTTCATTACTTGATACTATATCCTTCACTATGAGGATTAGAAATGGTATTTGATTATGGATTTTGGATAAGGAAGGGGATGGTGATTCTATTTCAATACTTCAAAACAATACTATGTCACTCACAGAGATACCGTAACATAAACATTTCCTGACTTGTGAATATAAGGAAATGCCTCCAAAGTGCCCAGCCAGTGACTGGACTTCCTTTTACAGATGTTACCTTCCCTCCTCACTACCAGCATTCCCCATTTGTTTAAAACAGGATGGCTTTTCCTCAGCCTACCTGTACTTACTGTCTCCCTGACTCCTCAGTCACATGACTACCCATGTAGGGAGCCACAAGAAAAGTAGCCATATAACTAGTTATGTTTTATTAAGGTAGAAAAATGTAAATCTTCATAATTACCTTTGACGTCAAAGAAGCATTTTTTAAAGGTATATAATTATCCTTCTCATCTGATGTCCTCCCTTTAAAGACACCTGATTTTAAGGGGTCTATTTTGTATTTAAAAACCACTTATCAAAATAATTTGTACAAAGAATGTGTAAAACTTTACTAGGTCTGGACAATAAAAGTTTAAATAACAACAAAGAAGCAGGAGTATTTTGAAGTTAGTATAAATATATGTATGTATAAAACAAGGTGAATAGTTGAAAACAGCCCAGATAAGGTGAATAGTTGAAAACAGCCCATCAAATAAAACCTAGCCTTTAATGTTTTAGAAAATCATGTTTTTACATACATTTTTCTCTAGCCTCATTTTACTTTACTAATGGAAGGTGGTTTTGATTAGAATTTGATTTTCTAATAGAATAATATTGATATTGAAGTTTGATGTTTTCAAACAAAGTATTTTATAGAGGTACTTCAGATATCAGTTTTATATCCTTGTTTTAGAGATGAGATTTAAGTGACACGCCCAACGTCACATAGGCACCATAGCAGACTGAACAGACAGATGTTCACCAAGTTCAGCTTGTTCCACTGTGCTATGCTGCCTTTATCCTTCAACTTTTATCTGGTTTAAGATTTAAATGTGGACTTAATGACTGAAAGATTATGTTATCAGCACTCTCAGTGCTCCTGTTTTCCTATTTATTTGGAATGAAAGTGTTTTAGTAATATGGATGGGAAATGTGAAGATCGATGGGCAGTGTTGAAGATATAAAGTCTTGTTACAATACTGGTAGGCATCAGAGGCTCATACAATTTACTTGCAATTTCCAGCGGACTCCTTATCTTCTAGTAAAGGCTGTTAAGGGAATGAAGTCTGGGCTGTTTCTCTCCTCAGCTTGATCAAGACTGGAAATATCTTACTTTAAAAAACTGAATGAACATAATGTAGAATGGAAGATTTTGGCTTGAATAGTTAAGTCATTATCCTCTGTGTAAACTGTATCTTTGGAAGTAGTGTAACTGGATATACTAGGAGAATGTCACTGTAGTGTAACCATTCCTAGCAAGCCTATTATTCAGCTCAGTATTAATGTGACAAAGATAGCAACTGATATATTTTACTATGACTTACTCATTTACCAAAAGTATCTAAGCTATCTCCCACTGAAGCAACAACAGAAGTTTGTACTATTTCTACTGTCTTCTTAAGAAATGTTGTTTTGTATCTTCCAGGATCTTTTTCCAGTTTAATTCATCAAATCTTTATTATTAACCTATTATGTATCAGGGCCTCTTCTAGGTTCTAGAAGTGTAAATATGATTAATACCTACAGTAACCTTTTAACACTTCAACTACGGTAAGTGGAAGTCAACGTATCAGGGATACTCAGACATTAAGGGTATCCAGCAGGTAGCTAGACTCAGCCACACACACCCCATCTGACTCCTCCCACAGGGAGATGCAGTTGTTAGGCTGAAGAAGACCAGCACCTTTAAGAATGTATTTATGAGAAGAACTCTGATGCCAGTCACAACTTAAACTTTCATCAGCATTGAGGATTAAATAATAGTCATCTAAACAGGATACAGAATAGGTAAGAATGTTGCCAGAGTCAAATTCCATTTTACTTCAAATTTGCTTTGTGCTATCCCTGGTGATTCATTAAATCATGGGGTGTTTCAGCATGGCATCATTCTTTGTCAATTATGACTACAGGTGATCTTCTTTAAGTTTAAACAAAAATAAGAAAAGCCAAGGAATAAATTCAATATATACAAAGCCTTGGATTTTGAAAATAATAGAAGATGATCAAAATGCACAGAACTTCTAATAGAGGCACATAAATACATTTTTTCTTAATTCTTAAACTGGGCCCTAAGGATGGATAAAAACAATTAATTATTTTCTCCTTTACTCATGACAAGAACATTCCCCAGAGTTGAATCAAGAGATAAATGTTCTTTGGTTTATGATTTCATAAAAAACTTGAGCTTCATTTAGTTTTTCTGTCAATTAAAAAAAATTACTAATCATAGCATCATCAACTCTATGTATCTAGAGGAAAACGTTTTTGCTATTAAAAATGTTTGCAGAAGATTCTTAAAATGTTTACATACCCAAATAATTTGTTACTAATATTTCATAAGGAATATCATTTTATTACTGTAATCACAAAATCATAATTTCTGTACAGGAATGTGTAAGTGAACATTAATCAATGCATTGATAAGTCACCTCATAAAGAGGATGAACACACTACAGAACATATTGTAAAGAAAAAAATATTGTAAAATTTTCCAGCCTTGCAATGCACTTTTTAGTGCAAGTATTTAAGACACAATAGTGTTCAATTCAGCAAAGTACTGCAGAATGTCATGCCACAGTCCACTTAATTCAAAGAGTGTCAGGACATGCAGCTTGTAATAAAATATAACCACATGTAATTCATAAAATATATAGTCGTTTATTTAGATGGTTTTAAATGATTTCACTGTGGAATTCAGCATAACTGGAACAAACATCCAAGATCTTCTTAACAGGAATCACCTTCGTGCTAGGCAATGGCTTTGGCTTCAGGTAGGAATGCCTCCCAGTATTTTATCAGCTGTGGGTGACAATAAAAGTAAAAGGTATTCTCATTACCTTTGTATCATCTATAGGCATATATTCTGTAAAACATTTTTTAAAATGTATAGAAATAGCTAACAATGCTTAACATTTACTAAAGTCTGGTTCCTAAAGGGATCTTTTTAATTCCCTGACCTAAAGTCTGTCAAGATAATTCATGTATCAATTATTTAAAATATTAATTATTCCTGGCTAATTTCAGTTTTTGATGTAAACAATTTTAAGAATGCCTAAAAATTAAAAAATTTTTTTGCAAAATTATATAAAAATAGATTCTTAGTGTAAATTAAATAAGATTGCCTTAATAAAAAACTGCAATGAACTTCTCTATATGAAGTTATATTACAGTATCTAATTCAGAAGATATTCACATTTTGTTATTTTTAGTCAAAAAGAAAGAAAAAGGGAGGAAGAAAAGGAAATATTGGGCAAGAAAGGAAAAAGAAACTGGAGAGAATTAGCTACTGGTCTTTCTTAGTCCAGAGAATGAGATTTAAGTATATAGTTATATTTAAAACAATTCCTTTAAAAACAAGCTCATCTAACTTATTTTCATATTTTAAAACTGACTTTATCAACTATTTAAAAACTAAATATAATTTGAAGATACAGTATCACCACCTAATTGAAAATTATAATTTATCGTGATATATAGGCAAGTTTCTAACCCACAAATTTTAAAACTGGAGGAAGACATCTTTCAAGACATTTAATAATTTGATGTACTACCCACATAAAACAAAAATTAAAATAATACAACCCGCCCCCAAAACCTTTAAAATGTAGTTTTCAGTTTAAGTACTACTATTATAGACGAGAAGAACTTATAGGAATGTCCTCTAAAGGGTATGATCAATCGGGAAACAAAACTAGGAATAGGAAGACAGGGAGGAAAACGTGCAGCATGTTTCTTCAGCCTAAAATGGGAAAAAGTGTATCTTGCCTAGTGCTCAGGAGTAGAGGCAAAAAGGCCCTGAGTGTCCTTTTTCCCCAAATTCTTTAGCATTTTTTCCTTTGCTGGCATTGCTTTCTTCTATTGCATTTCTCATGCCTCCTTAAGTTTAAAAGCTCTTATCAATGATTATCATTTTCAAAATGAAAAAGTATACCAAAGATAAATTACAGCATCTGTAGGTTATAAGTAAGTTACGGAAAAAATTAGCTTACCTGTTGCTGTGTTTGTACTAATGATTCTAAGTACTTGATAATAACAGTTTTAAAATCTTTCACTCGTTCTTTCTGTTTAGTACAAATACATGAAAAAAAAGTCCATTAGTAAAAAATTAAATTTGTTTTCCCACAAAATTGCAACAAAATGTGACCATGTTGGTAAGAAAAGTGTAAAATTATTATACGTGCCTCAAATCTTCCCACTTCTTTTCGAATTGTTTTAGAGATCTGTTCAAAATCTCTTTCTCCTTGTTGCACTTTTGCCTCCCACTAAAATAAAAAAATTTGAACAAATTTTTAATTCTTGTCTGGGAAAAAAATCACAGAACTAGCTATCATGACCACTCAATTTTATGGCATGCCCTGAATGAAAACTCTGAGAAAGGTCAACATTGGCAAAGCCCAATTTAACACCATTCAAACTTGTATCTAACTTTCCAGTAGTATAAATGCCTATCAGCTTAATTTTCACTAATATTTCACTGTCAGATTCACTCAAGATTAGGATATTCTGGTACTTAATGAACTATAATCTCCATAGCTTAATTAAATATAACTAAGAGGAAAAGATTTTCAGCAAAAAAATTACTATCAAATAATGTAGCAGTGTTAAGAGTGTAATTTTCTCATTTCTTTTATCATTTATTTTCAACTATATGAACAATGTTCTGCTAATTTCATGTATACATGTTCATCACAATTTATATGCCTACAGAAATACTTTAAATGAGGACATTTATGACAAACACTTAAAAAACATTTTTGTAGTGGTAAAATGTCCAGCTTTAAAAAAAAAAAACACGTGGAATTACCACTTACTGGAGACCTATCAGTAAATATTAAATTCAGTACAGAAACAGCAAAACGTTGTGATTAGTGGCCAATGGAACAAGCTAAAATAAAGTAACTGAAGACTTGAGCAATGAAATGATATTTTCCCACTATATAACCAAAGCACTGGTACATACTCTTCAAAGAGCAGGTACATTTACTTTTAGTAATATAAAGGTTGTCCTACCTCTTCAATTTCCTTATTGAAGCATGGCAAAAAAAGTGTATAAATTATAATAAACTTATACAAATTTACTAAATACCATATATAATACATATATATGGGGGATAATGTAGCCTAGATAGCTAAATGTGGGATAAGAATATCTCTAAAACTGTTTTTAGACACAAAATAAGTATCTGAGATCAAATTAACCACCTCAAAAGAAATGTATAATTATTAATTAAAGGTTAATTTAAATCTTTCCTTTGTATGCTTCTTTATCCATTTCATGTTCATGTGGAATTAACAAATGGCTCTGGAGACTTGAATAATAATCAAAATGTTAAAGCAATTCTAACACAGTTCATAAAATTATGGAAAAATAGCTAAGTGTTGAATGGTCTGGAAAAAAATTGATGAAAAATTATGCATACATGAATGACTCATGGAAAATTTGATTAAATAGATAAATAAAGCATTTTGAATTAATCACCTCTCTGATTTCATTTTTAGCTTGCTGTATTTTATCTGGTTTGTTAGCAACCATCATTTTTGCCTCAATTTCACGTTTTTTGAGCAAAGTAATTTGAGCATCTTCCCATTTTTGCCAGCACTTCATTCGATGGTCAAACACACCCTATAAGTGAATGACATAATGCTATTAAGTGAGAGTTTACACTGAAACACTTTCATAATACTAGAAGTGCTGTAATACCAAAAACAGTAAAACCAAATATTTAAATTATATTCTAATATGCTGAGATACTGAAAATAAACATGCCAATATCAAAGAAAATAAATTTCCATATTCACTTGCTTAAAAACAGAAAAACTGTGTGACTAGATGAAATACAAGAGTTCTGAATAATAATAATTAACAAAATGTATACAATATGCATTTTGTTAGCCTTTGAGGTTTTAAATGTGGATAATACTAAGATTTTAACAGAGTTTTATATTTGAAGAAATATTTAATAAGAAAATGCTGGTGTCATATCTACACTGGAAATTTTTCTATTAAACAGTATCAGAAGCAGATTTAAGTTTTGGTAGTATATAGAAATTGAAAAAGAAAAATGAGAAAAATCCATTACAGGAAGTAAAGTTAAGTAAAAATGTGGTAAAAGACAATAACAAAGGCAAAGAAGTTAAAAATAAAGGTATAACAAAACACAACAGGAAAAGATAGTCCTATACAAGATGAAAAAGGCAAGGGAATACATGCATCTGGTATACAGAAATGAAGAAATAAGACAAAAAAACCGTAACAGAAAAGTCAACCAAGTCCACTGATTCTTTCAAGGGGTCTGGCAGAGCAAATGGAGGAGTGAAATGAAGTGGGAACATAGGAGAATAATTATAAATCTCATGAAAAAACTGATGGATAGGATGGGAGAATACAATAATAATAACCCCTTTTCTAGCTTGATGTTGGGGACATGTGCATTTTATTTTAGTATTTACCAACTGAACAAATGAAGCAAGCATTAATAAACTGGGTGAACCTGAAAGCAATAAACCAGAGTTATTTTCACTTATTTCAAGCAAACAGCTTTTTGGAATAACAGTAAATAAATACATGTTCTTACAGGGACCTGCTGAAAAGCAAAGTACATAGCTAGTGTATTTTTAAAATGTAGGCTTTGGAAGAAATTGAATTTGGATTCAAATACAGTTGACCCTTCAACAAATTGGGTTTGAACTGTGCAGGCCCACATATGTGGACTTTTTTCAATAAGTATATTGGAAAATTTTTTTCAAATTTGTGACAATTCGAAAAAACATTCTCTTTTCTCTGGCTTATTTTAAGAATACAGTATGTAATACATGTAACATACAAAATGTGTTAATCACCTGTTTATTATTAGTAAGTCAAGTTATAGGTGGATTTTTCAACTGTGCAAGATGTGGGTTGGGTGCCCCTAATCTCTGTGTTGTTCAAGAGTCAACTGTACCAGCTTTGTCAGTGTATGATCTTAGGCAAATTCATTAAATTTTCTATAAGCCATAGCTCTCCCAAATACAAGAGAGGGAAAATGAGATTTATATTTGTGGCCTAGAAATAAAAGTATGTAGCACAGAGACTTACTTAACCTTGTGGATATTTAATAATTAGTATGCACTCTTATGGATTAATTCTAAAATACATATAAATGTGTTAACTCTAAATTTCTACAAGTGTAAATAACTTAGTAATATTAAAAAAAAGCCATGATTGAACTGCATTTATATCATATATCATATTTCAAAAAGGTGGGCAGTAACATTGAAAACTCCAGAAAAACAGATTCTGGGTAGATTAGTAATTCAAACACCCTATCTCTAAATACCTAAATCCACTTTGTAGATTTGTTATCTAATTTCTCTTCTAACATTAGGAAGTGAATCTTACTGTCCCCTTTGTCTGTTTTTCTTGTATTTAAAAGACATTTTCCTTAAAACATTTCTTAGTAAAAATTTCCTTTAGCCAAATTAATTTCAGCAAAAATCACAAAAGTAATGCATATAACACAAAGAGATTCAGAAAAAGTTACTATCATTTAAAACAAACAATCCTGGCTGCTTACCTCGTACGTATTCACAAAACCAAAAAGTAATTTAAGATTTTAGGCCTACTCTGTCTTTAGGGAAATAGAACCATATCTGCTCTTCATTTATAAATTTAGCTGTTCAATAGCAATTTACTTACTTAAAATGTGTATCAATATAGGGCAAAAGCTAACCAAAACTTCTTTTAATTTCAATACTTGCTTAAGCTCTTAATATATATCAACTGGTTTTTTTCAGTGATATACTAATTTAAGCTAATTCACAAATGTCCACCTATAGATCAATGGATAAAAATGATGTGGTACATATACACAATGGAGTATCACACAGTCATAAAAATGGATGAAATCTTGCCATTTGTAACAACACAGATGGACCTAGAGGGTATTATACTAAGTGTTATATTACACATCAAGACATAACAGATAAATACCGTATGCTTTCACTTATATATGGAACCTAAAAAAACAAACAAGAACAAACAAACTGAAACAGACTCATAAACAGAGAGAGCAGACTAGTGGTTGCCATTGGTGAGGGGAGGAAAATGGGTGAAGGAGGGAAAATTAGTGAGAATGTTTGGTATCTTGATCTAGGTGAGGGTTACATGAATGTATATACATGTCAAAATGCATCGAACTGTACACTAAGATTGGTGCATTTTTTTATATATACCTTAATATGAAAAATTTGGTCCTTGCCTAATTTATTATCTCATAATGTTCCAGATCCACTGACTGTTTATTGTAGTACAGATGTAGGAGCTATGCTAAAAGTAAGGCTACTAAAGTCTGGTTATTCCAGAAAAAAAATTTATCTGAATTCTCTAAGAACCAACTTCCTCTTCATTTGTTTTCTATCTGTTGTGAATAGAAAATAAAAGAAAAAAACAATCAGAAATTTACTTGATCTAAAAATGTTATCTTAAAAATAATCAAATCATGACTTAACGTGTGCCTTTGAATGTTAAAATGCTAGCCCATTCAAGTGGCATGAACCTCTCTCCAAGAAAGATTTACATTGACATTCACGTTGGTCCTGCAACCCCCTACTAATATTAATTTATGGTACACATTTGTATACAAGCTAGTCTGGGTTAGACAAGACTGCCATTGTGAAATGGTCTTCCTGGCCTACCAGGAAATCTGACACTGTAATTTTACTTTAATTAATACTATATTCTAATTTAGTGAATCTAAAAGTATGTCCCTTCCCACCCACCACTTTCTTAAGTCCTGAAAGAATGCTTATTAGTTACAGCCAAACAATGAAGCTTTCAAACTCCTTGGAGAACCCATCTACTGATTTTTTGTTTTTTTAAAAATTATTTCATTTTATAAATTAGATTCCCTGTAAGCATTCTTTATGAAGAGCTTTAAGCACTAAAAACACTGAGAACTATTGCCTTTGACTGATTCCTGACCCTGCTCTAGTGGTTCACAGAAAGGCCAGTACATGAGGAAACATGCAATACAGTTGCCACTTAATATGTTAGCTTCAGTATTAGCCAACGTGTGGAGTCCTGGATGCCAGAAACCATGCACTGTACAAAAGAGAAAAGCAGAAGGTTCCTGGATACAAGGCTAGGCCTAGGCAATATGAAATGGGTGAAATTTCTTTCTTTCTTTAGGGCTCTAATTTCTGATGTTCTTAGCTCCCCACTTTGGCTCTACACTCTAATTTCCAAAGTACTCCTAGTTTCAAAATCATTAACAGGAAAGTATTCTCAATATGGTTAAAACAAAGGGCTAAGTAGTATTAAATACATGTTAGAAATAAAGAGGCTAGAAAGCTGGGCAAAGAATAGTTCACAGAAAAAAAGGAAATACAAACGGCTTATCATCTGTAAAGATAGTTAAATTTACACTAAAAAATTAAAACTCATAAAAACATAACTAGGTAGAAGAGCATATATGTTGATGGAAGTACAAAGTATAACCTCTTTAGACAGTAATATGGCAATATTTATTGAAATTTAAAATTCATATACCCTTTGGCCAAACAATTCTACCTTTAGGAATTTTACACCCAAAGAGTTATTATAAAAAAACTTAATATTTATGATTGCACTGGTTAAATAATTCAACCTACATCTATATACTATATGCTGAAATATTACACAGCCATTAAAAGGGATGTTAACATATCTATATATGCTAATATAGAGACTTCTCCAAAATGAACTTGGCTGAAAAAGACAGGCAAAGAACAATTCATACAGTGTGCTCCTTTTTGAAGGTGGAAGAGATGGAGGGAGGAAGGGAAAAGAGTTGAAAGGAGGCAGTGGGGAGGGGAAGCAGATGACAGTGCAGGAAAGAGAAGGAGAAGGAGACAGTGAGAGACAGAAAGGGAGAGTTTAGCTTCGCACACATGCATAGCTAATTCTATGAAGACACATAAGAATTTAACCAAGGAAAAGAGACTAGAGGTTTTAGGCAGAAGAGAAAATTTACTTTTTGGGGCTGTTAGAATTATTATGAGCATGTATTACTTTCTCATATACAAACAAGTTAGCTTAAAACAAAAAAACAAACCAAAAATAAAGACCACAAAAATTGCCTGGCACCCTATTACATAATTTCTCAACTCCTTTGTGAGGTTGAGTTCCAGTACACCCACCCAATGATAACTAATGTTCATAATACTTCAAATATACCAAAGACCTTAAAGTACCTTCTGAAATGTATGACAAATAAAATAACATTCAGTTCAGCTTAACTGAACATTTGAGATATCTGTAGGATACTAATTTCCCTTAGTTAACTGGACTACTTTACCAAATATTCATCCTTAAACATTACCACTAGATAACACAATTAATTATCTAATCTAGTCCTATCTCACCTATAAATACAAGGTGACTACACATTTCGTTACATACACAGAATGTCAGGTTACAGCTGAAATTCATGCTAAAGCCACTATCAAACATATTGATGCAATAATCAGCTCTAGTTTTGTCTGCTTCTTAATATAGCCTATTATTACAGTAACAGTCCACTAGGTAGTTTCCATTCATGCTAGAATGAGCAAACAAAGGCTGTCAGTTAGTTGCAAACTTGTATATGTAATATAAAGTAAATATGTATTGGTTTTCTTATTTATATTCCTTAGACCTCTTAAAGACATCAATTCTGTGCATTGCACTGTTCAAATCACAGAGGAAGAAAACATTAAGCTATGAATAATCATGTTGAAGCCATTTCTTATGTGGTAGTACAGTATGGAATTTGCAAACTTAAACACATGCCTAAGGGGTAACCAAATTCTTATATGCAAACTACTTTAGTGCAAAGAATGTGAGGAAGACTACACAATGAGGCTTACTTTCACTGCAGCAATGAGACGAATGTAGTCACTAAGTAGTTCTGAAAACATATAAAAGTCAGCAAAAGCTTGTTCTTGATGTAACTGGTCTATCTTCTCCTCAACCTCGGCAAGCTGAGACAGAGCTCTAGATAAAGCAGTATGATCCTCAGAATTACCTAACATGGCAGCACTTTTAGCAAAGGCAGCTGTGTTGGCTGAAAGTTCTGAAATAATAAACATTCAATTTAGTATTCACGAGAACGTTTTGAAATATTGCACTGACTTACTACTTTCTCACTAAATTTTACCTATTAACAAAATCCTCAAATAATATTTTTAAATAATTAACAGAAAACAACCAACCAGTCATTAAAATACCTTGGACATAAATGCCAACTGCTCAGAGCTCTACTGAAAATTAAGAAGAAACACTGTCTATATTCCCAGGGGATGATCTATGTCAAATAATTTAATGTAATAATCTGCCTCTTCTGTCTATGCTGAAAAAGACAAGACATATTTTTAATATGGAAGGCATTTGGAACACTTAAAATTGATTTATATTCCATTCTTTACATTTATTTGACATTGAATATAATGTCTATAATTTTTAATGAGAGTATTATTTAGCTAGAAGGAAAATAAGGTAAAACTGTACAAATAATTCACATCTTATTGTGTGTGCAAAAATGCTTAGAAATATCCTATATTTCTAAAAAATGATTTTTGAACATGATCTTTTTAGATACTTCAAACAAAGAAACATAGACATTTACAGGCTGGACACTGCCAAGAACTAACATACATTGCCTAGAAACTGCTTTGTTGCTTTCCATTATAGAAACTTTTCTAAAAGAACCATAAAGCCCATGTATAAGAGAAAATACAAAAGGCAAAAGATGTTATAAACTACTTTCAATAATAAACATGTAAATAGACTGCTGTAATTATTTTATTGAAATGTACTGCTGGTAATGGCACACAGTACTTAAAAAGTATTTTATAAAGTTGATGAAAAGCCCTATATTCTTTAAAAATGAAACAAAACCAAAATACCTCACCATGGAATTAAAAAACTACAACTCAAATTTTTTATGATTTTTTAACAAAATATACTCCCAGATTTTTCAATATGATAGTTCAAAAATGAAGGAAATATTTTAGAGTTTTTGAGGAAATACAAGCACAAATGAAGTATCTTAAAGAAAAATTCCAAATATTAATTTTTGAATCTCATTTGTATTATAATCAGTTACTAAGACATTTTCATTCATTAAATTAGAAATATATTTAACAGTTTGTCAAGTGAACAAGTTTCAATCTAAAATTCAAAACATAAGCTCAGAATTTTCCTACTTCTAAACTAGAAGTTGGATTAAACTAGAATTTTAAAAAATTTAATAACAAATTGAAATAGAGAACATTCTCTTAAACTGTTTTCTCTCTTCTATAACCAGAATATACATTTTAATAAAAGTTAAACAAAATATTTGAATTAACTTTTGCTGTTACACACATAAATAATAAGGTAAACAAACCTTTTCTATGACAGACCAAGGCTTCAACACTGGCATGAAGTTTCCTAAGTTGCTGATCCAGATTTTCAAATTGCTGCTGCTTTTCTTCAAACCACTAAGAAAAAATGAAAAATGGAGCTAATTTAGCCAGAACAAACCACTGTAAATTAGGTTACCAATAGCAAGCTACTTTCCTTGCTTTAAAGCAACAAATTAACCATGTATAACCAACCATGGTGGTCAACTGATGTGGCTGAGAACTAAACTCAATAAGCAAATTAATATCCTATTTTCTACTTGTACAGCTTTAAAATGCAATTGTTGGGCTCATTAATTCATCTCATTATTCAAGTCGAAAAATCAGCTCTTACTGCATCCGATTCATTCATCTTGATTGTCATTTTGTTGACAGCGTCGGCAGCCTTGTTCACCATCCTCAATATTCCTGCTCCACTCAGAGCCTGTGTATTAACTGCTCTAGGCAGCTGGAATTGAATGACAAATAAGGGCAAACAAACTGGTTAAAAGCCTGGAGGTTTAACTGGCACAAAAGAGACTGCCCTCCCCACTCAAAAAAAAGAAAGAAAAAAGAAAAGAGAAAAAGGAGGTTGTTATTTTCTTCACTCTCATGCATTTCGATAGTGAGATCTAATTTCTCAAATACACTACTTGTACAATCTCAAAGGAAAACTTTAAAAAATAGAGTTTCTATTTGCTTTTCTTCTGCAAGTTTACATTTAGATAGAACAACACTCTGTTTGTCAAAATATATTAAGAAATTGCCAACCACTTTAACACTGGACACCTGTTTGCTAGTAAAAATAAGCTCGTTTATAAGACTCAAGAAAGTCTTGAGAAAAATCTCCTTATTTTTTTAGTTAGGACTGTGTGATTTTCAATTTTTTTAAATTCTGGGATTCAAGTAAATTTTTTAAAAATCTCAAATGGTACCAATAAGAACTCCGCGTTGTTAAGAGCCAAAATATGTCAAACATCTCAAATACAACGAGCAACACGGTTATAATTTAAACTCTTTCAAGTTACAAATTTGCATTTCACAAGCTTAATAAGAATTTGCATTTCACAAGCTTAATAAGAATATTAGAATGAAGACATACAAACCCATTCAACTATCTCTAAAATGAGATCTTTGAAATGAATTTACTTCAACATGATGCCTAAGCAACAAATGAGGGCATTCAGAATTAGGCTATTTATAAAACATGTTTTAAACTGATGGCAAATTTTCAAGAAAGGGACTGATCATCCTACAGTTACCAATGCAAAAAAGATATTTTGTCAGTAATTCAGTTTAGTAATTAAAGCTAATTAAAGCACTAGGCAAAAAATGGTTATTGCTTTATGCCATCTATTAATCCAATTTTTACTGAACATCTATTCTTATATAAATTATTAGACTGACAAACATAAATAATGAGAACATGTATGCGATGCAAAAATTTAAAGTAGAAACAATACCTCTGAACTTTCCAAGAACTGCCTTAAGTCAGGATCCTGTAGTAAAGTTGGATGCTTTACTGTTCTTTGAAGATACCTAGATTTAAGAATAATTGCTCTTTATCAGTAGCATCTTATTTTAAATCTTATTTCAACAAAATAATAATAATAATAATAATAATAATAATAATAATATCAATAATAATTTAAAAACCTAGGTAAAAAGAAGTACTTAGTCTGACTCCTATCATGTAAGTCTGCCTTCACTCTAATTACTTAGAATCTTCAATGGTTTCAAAATAACAGCAATTTAATGATGAAAAAGCCTTTCATTCATCTTCGGAAAAGTTCACAATTATGTAAAAAGAGACATGGCAGGGAATGGGTGTGGCTGTGGGGAGGGGTTACATAAGTCACCAAATTTCTCACTTCAAAGTGTTAGGGCTGTAAAAGTATGTACGAGTTTGTCAAATAATTTTATCTGTGGAAGAGTCAGTATTTTCCCAGTACTTACTCCAGAACCGTAAGAAACATCACTATTTACTCCAATATCTTTTTTATTGCTTTTATCACCAAAATGGAGAAGAATCTATCATTCTTTTTTCTTTATCAGATTTAAATTATCAAATCAGTTTTGGTTCTTATTTGACAAGGACTAAATTTTCTTCACTATTTGGATTTTTGAAGTTTTGCTGTCTTTAATGTCTTCCTATGTGGCACCCACAAAATACAAATAAGAAGTAAAGAGAAACACCATTATTAGATCACTATTAGTCCAACTGTAGTCATTTTCTCCCACTAAAAAAGCTCACATTTCTGCATCCATAATAAATTACCAATCATTCTTTCACAAAAAGAAAAAAATTACTTTTGATTACTTAACTAATCCAATTTTAAATCACTTCCCAAGATTAATGATCACATGTAATAATATTTTAATTATAGTATTTCACCTCATAGTTAACACATCTTTATTCTATTTCTGCAGAATAATTTCTGCAGTAGTCAATTTCTTCTACCTCTCTACAAGACTATAAAATTTATTAAAAAATGTGATCACCTTCTCTTAAGTCAAATTTTACATAAGGTTAAAATGACTATTTTACTTCTGCTTAAGTGTCAACTTCTGTTTTTGTGTATTTAAATAAAACATACCATATTAAATTTCATCTTAAGTCATTAGCCTACATAAGTCATTATAACAGAAACAAAGCACTTAATAGATATGTGGAATACAATCTACACTGTGGTTTAAAAATATATTTGCTATCTACATTATCAAGCTAAAAAAAAGATACAGCAGGAACACTAATCCTGTAAGATTAAGAAATGTTGGTATTTTCCCACTGCAATTTTACTTATTATTCTAACACTGAAGTTCTCCAGTACTATTAAGTAAGTTATTTAGCTGTTTAGATTGCAGCCTGCCTGAAGAAGCAGTTTGCATAAGTTGTTCATCTGAGTGCACACAACAGCTGGTAAATAGCAAGCACCAAGACATTTGTAAAATGGACAAGCAGGAAGACAAACATCTAGTGAGCAACCTTTAAGACATAGTCCAGTGTTTCAAACCTAGTTCTACTATACCTAATACTAATAGTTAATTCCAAAGTGAGTTCTGCAGAACATTAGTCTCATGTAGTTTTCCATGAAAAAGATTGGATCACAATCAAGAAAGTATGAAATGTAAAAATTCCTCAATCTTCACATTCATAATGAACAGCAGCATATTAAGTGTTGTGAGAAGTCCTGCAGGAAATGAACCTCGTTTAACTTTGTTAAACCCTATGTTAACAAAACTCAATTGACTTTTTTCCTTTTATCACCCTATCACATACTAGCATTTTGAGTAATCAATTTTGGAAAATGGTATTCCAGAAAAAAACAGTAAAACTTTAATTCTTCTTAAGGTTACATGGATATATCTTAAGGTTACATGGATATAAAGGGCAACTAACCATTAGAAAAAAAGTACTAAGCTTACAAAATGTTAAAATTAAGAATAGAAATATACAATGGATTTGAAATTACTATTTATAAATACCAATTCAGAATTAAAGTCAGAGAGGGCTGTAGGAAGGATAGGATAAAAAACAAAAAGAGGTAAAAGAAAAATGTTAAAATTAAGAATAGAAATATACAATGGATTTGAAATTACTATTTATAAATACCAATTCAGAATTAAAGTCAGAGAGGGCTGTAGGAAGGATAGGATAAAAAACAAAAAGAGGTAAAAGAATGTAGGAAAAAGACTTGAAAAGAGGTATGAGGAGAAACAAACACTGAAGGCAGACAGAAATGGAAGACACAATGGAACTGGATGAACATGAAGTATCAGACTGAACAAGAGGCAGTCAGCAGTTGTTCTTCAGATCTGCTCTAAGGAAATGTTACTGATAAACTTAAGAATAGTAACTATGGCTTTCAAGTTCCTACTGACTTACCAAAACAAAAAAAATTAACGCAGGATATCATAATGCTTAAGAGGAACAAAGTTAGACATTTTCTCCTGCTTGAAACTCAAACACATGTGCTAACAGTGATGGAATAGAAACGCAGGAAGAGTCTGGGTCTTTGCTGACACTCATTTATTCATTCAATAAATATTTATTGAATATTCACTACATGTCAGTTACTGTTCTGAGTACTCAAAATTCATCAGTGAACAAAAGAAAACAAGATCCCTTCCCTAGTGGAACTTGTGATTTAGTAAGAGCAGATAGACAGTAAACATAAACATATAAATTATGTAGTATGTGACAAGGTGGTAAGTGCTGTGGAAAAAAGAAGGGAGAACTATAGAGTTAATGGGCTCAAGTAAAGCGTGACTGGTGGCAATTTGAATAGGTCACAACACTGGCAATGATCAGAAAAGGCTTCACTGGAAAGGTGGTACTTGAACGTTTGAACTTGGAAGAGGTAAGGGAATTAGCCATACAGATATCTGAGAGCAAAAGTTTTCTAGGCAGTGGGAGGCCACTGAGAAATTCCTAAGATGGGAAAATGCCTGGAATCTTTGAAGAGCAGCAAAAAAAAACGAGTGTTGCTAGAGCAAAGTGATCAAGGGCATACAAGATCAAACAAGTAATAGAGTGAGCAGTACAGGCATGGAAGGTTTTGCAGGCCATTATAAGGACACTGGCTTTTACAGAGTAAAACTGGGAGCAGGGGAAAATATGATCTGATTTATGTTTTCAAAGGATGACTCTGGCTGCTATATCAGAAAACAGTACAGGTGATAGGACGGTAAACAGGGAGATCAATTAGAAGCTCACTGCCATTAAATCAGGCATTTGGACTAGTAGACGCCCAGTGATAAAATGGTTGTATTCCAGATACCAGAAGGAAGCAGCGGGATCTCCCAAATGAATCAGATAATCCTCAGCATCTGCCTGCATCTGCCTACCTACAGACTTCCTGATTTGAAAGAGCGCATTAATTTACACTAATGGCTTAAGCTTTGCCAGTTGGGTTTTTAGGTGCCTGAAATGAACACAATCCTAACTGGTAAGACTTAAATTTTAGAGCTAGAGAACAATGCATTTAAATTAAATAACTTGCCTCAGGTCACACAGGTAGTGTGTAGTAGAACACAGGTTTCAAGAAAAAGGATTCTAAATCCTATATACTATATTGTGCTACTCTGTATTTCTCCATTTGTATTTGTAGTTAAGTGTATCCTTAGCTATGAAATAAACTCAACACGCTGTTAAGGTAAGATGGTGAAGCACTCACAACATCAAGTCAGTGGTCTCAGGGACACTCTTAACAGAAGTAGTTTCTGCTTGCTTTACGGAGTATGGCACAGGGTACCTGGGTTCTGAACCACTTCCTCTCTCTTCCTGTATTTTAATACTGGATGCTTATTCTTTTGTTCAAGAAGTCATCTGGACTAAGTTTAAGAAACAAATATGTAAATGAGTATCACAGCATATTCAGAGAAATACTTCCTTGACCCATCAGATCCAACTAGGTTGGTTACCCCACAAATACACCTGTAATACTGTTCAAATTTTAAGAACTGCCACAAAAAAATCACTTTAGAAAAAGCAGGCCAGTTCCTTTACTTCTAGAGCTTTACACCTATATTTTCTTTAGTAACCTTTTCTAATACAAAATGAACTTTTCCCTCATACTCCATTTTCTTTTTTTCACTACTGTAAATTCCACTAAGGTAGCTCTTAAGTAACATTTATCAGTAAAGAAACATATATACACGAGGCCAGGTTTCAATATCTCCTTAAAACTCTCAATGCTCCATAATGCAAGATGGTATGGCAAGTACTAGGCAGTGCATTCAAGTTACAAGAAAGGTGAATGCATAATCAAATGATATGTCCTTGGCACAATAAATCTTCATTAAGCTCCTTATCAAGCATGCCATCTGAAATGTTTCAAGTTTACTCATAGAAAAATAAGACCTGAAAGCTCTCTCAAAGGGTCATGGTTACACTTCCAGGAAGAACTAACTGAAATCAAGGCAGAGCATTATCTACCTTTGTTCTTATACATACTCAGTCTATGACCTCTTTCACAACAGAATCAATTCTAATACCTAACCTAAACTTCTCGTGATGCAATTTAAGTCCTTTTCCAAAGTAACTGCAGATTCTCACAGACATAATCTCATCTTTCAAGTCTTCTCTAATACAAAATTTAAAACTGCACATTACTTTGCAAGCTGTTCAAACCTGACTTTACTATGGCATTTTCTTAAAATTTAAACACTTTATTACTAAAACCCAGAAATAAGTCACCTTAAATATAGTTTAAAAAAGTAATCTGTACCCTGGAGATATACACTATTCTCTAAAATCTGTCCTACCCTGATTTTAAGCCAGAAGAGAAAACAAAACAAATATGCAAATTTAATTATAATAAAATAATCTTCAATTAACAAATTAACATTTCTTAAGATAACAACAAAAAAAAAACCCCTATAAGGCCAATATTACTCTAATACCAAAACCAGGCAAAGACACCACAAAAAAAGAAAATTACAGACCAATATCCCTGATGAACATAGATGTAAAAGTACTCAACAAAATATTAGCAAACCAAATTCAAAAATACATCATGATCAAGTGGGATTCACCCCAGGGATGCAAGGAAAAATTTATCATCATCCACCACATCAACAAAAAGAAGGACAAAAACCACATGACCATCTCCATAGATGCGGAAAAAGCATTAGACAAAATTCAACATCCATTCATCATAAAAACTCTCAATAGAATGGGTATAGAGGGCAAGTACCTCATATTACAAACCCACAGCCAACATGATACTTAACAGCGAGAAGCTGAAAGCTTATCCTTTAAGATCGGGAACAAGACAAGGATGCCCACTCTCCCTACTGTTATTCAACATAGTTCTGGAGGTCCTAGCCACGGCAGTAAAACAACACAAAGAAATAAAAGGCATCCAGATTGGTGAGGAAGAACTCAAACTGTCACTGTTTGCAGATCACATGATATTGTATATAAAAAACCCTAAAGAATCCACTCCAAAACTACTCGATCTAATATCTGAATTCAGCAAAGTTGTGGGATACAAAATTAATGGACAGAAATCTGTTGCATTCCTATACACCAACAATGAACTAGCAGAAAGAGAAATCAGGAAAACAATTCCATTCACACCTGCATCAAAAAGAGTAAAATATCTAGGAATAAACCTAACCAAGGAAGTGAAAGACCTATATTCTGAAAACTACAAGACTCATGAGAGAAATTAAAGAAGATACCAATAAATGGAAATACATCCTGTGCTCATGGATAGGAAGATTTAATACTGTCAAAATGGCCATCTTACCTAAAGCAATCTACAGATTCAGTGCAATCCCTATCAAAATATCAACAGCATTCTTCATTGAACTAGTGTAAATAGTTCTACAGTTCATATAGAACCACAAAAGACCCCGAATAGCCAAAGCAATCCTGAGAAGGAAGAATAAAGCTGGGGGGATTATACTCTCTGACTTCAAGTTCTACTACAAAGCCACAGTAATCAAGACAATTTGGTACTGGCACAAGAACTGACCCACAGACCAATGGAACAGAATATAGACCCCAGATATAAACCCAAAAATGTATGGTCAATTAATATATGATAAAGGAGCCATGGCTATACAATGGAGAAATGACAGCCTCTTCAACAGCTGGTGTTGGCAAAACTGGACAGCTACATGTAAGAGAATGAAACAGGATTGGCTAACCCTATACACAAAAGTAAACTCAAAATGGATCAAAGACCTGAATGTAAGTCATGAAACCATAAAACTCTTAGAAAAAAACAGAGGCAAAAATCTCTTGGACATAAACATGAGCAACTTCTTCATGAACATATCTCCCCGGGCAAGGGAAACAAAAGCAAAATGAACAAGTGGGACTGTATCAAACTAAAAACCTTCTGTACAGCAAAGGACACCATCAGTAGAACAAAAAGACATCCTACAGTATGGAAGAATATATTCATAAATGACATATCCGATAAAGGGTTGACATCCAAATTATATAAAGAGCTCATGCACCTCAACAAACAAAAAACAAATAAGCCAATTAAAAAATGAGCAGAGGAGCTGAACAGACACTTCTACAAAGAAGAAATTCAGATGGCCAACAGACACATGAAAAGATGCTCCACATCACTAATCATCAGAGAAATGCAAATTAAAACCACAATAAGATACCACCTCACACCGTTAGGATGGCCAACATCCAAAAGACAAACAACAACAAATGTTGGCAAGGATGTGGAGAAAGGGGAACCCTCCAACACTGCTGGTGGGACTGCAAATTAGTTCAACCATTGTGGAAAGCAGTATGGAGGTTCCTCAAAACACTCAAAACAGAAATACCATTTGACCCAGGGTTTCCACTCCTAGGAATTTACTCTAAGAATGCAGGAGCCCAGTTTGAAAAAGACACATGCACCCCTATGTTTATCACAGCACTATTTACAATAGCCAAGAAATAGAAACAACCTAAGTGTCCACCAATAGATGAATGAATAAATGAGGTGGTACATATTCACAATGGAGTATTATTCAGCCATAAGAAGAAAACAAATCCTACTATTTGCAATTACATGGATGGAGCTAGAGGGTATTATGATCAGTGAAATAAGCCAGGCAGAGAAAGACAAGTATCGAATGATTTCAGTCATCTGTGGAGTATAAGAACAAAGAAAAAACTGAAGGAACAAAAAGCAGCAGAATCAGAGAACCCACAAACGGACTAACAAGTTACCAAAGGGAAAGGGATTAAGGAGGATGGGTGGGAAGGGAGGGATAAGGGGGGAAAAGGGGCAATACAATTAACACGTATAATGTGGGTGGGGGGACACAGGGAAGACAGTATAATACAGAGAAGACAAGTAGTGATTCTACAGCATGTTACTCCACTGATGGACAGTGACTGTAATGGGCTATGTGGTGGGGACTTGATAATAGGGAGAATCTAGTAACCATTATGTTGTCCATGTAATTGTACATTAATGATTGCAAAAAAATAAATAAATAAAACCCTGTTTAGTCAGAAAATGTTTTAAGTCTAAGTAATTGCTAACTTATTTTCTAAAAGTTGAGCTCTGAGTTTCAGATTTGTTTTCTCACATTTTCAGCACAGCAGGGAAGGAACAGATTCTGGGAGTGAGGTTTCTCCTATCCATTCCCCTTTTAGTCTGCCACAATGAAGACAAGTCTTCAAAACTATAGGAAATGTGTTGAGTCAAGTGCTCTAAAGGAAGCAGAGCGTATGTATCAGCCTTTAAGTATACAGTCAACTAAAGCAATGTCTAATACTTTTTCGAACACTCAGAAGTGTAAAAAATTATATAAGAGTAAAGGTAGAGAAGACAAACCTATTCACTGTATTTAATTAAGTTCTTACTTAACACTGTTCAAGTAATAATTCAAAGTGAAGTTTAATTTAGATGAACTATAATTAACCAAATTATCCAACATAGCACACGAATGTGGATATAACTTCCTAAAAACCTAAATAATACATAGGAGGTATTATTTTTATCCAAATATTTCTACTAACTCTTTCCCCCATTCACAAGTTTCATGTTTTCTTTTTTAAGCTTGGCAGTTTCCTAATTCTCTTGCTGATCACAGCTATAATTCTATACCCAACTAATTCCTAACTATATTCCATCTTGAAACATGATACAAAAATAGGTGTTATGTTGTTAGACTATTAATGAGGATTAATAAAAACAGAGTAAATATGTGGTGTTGAAATAACAATTCTGTATGCTGTTGAAAGAAGCATTTTCTTTAAGTCTGGAAGCAATCAATGAGAGTCACAAGTGGTACTTTGAAAAAATTTATTGAAATACAGTTGTGCCATTAATGGTATTAGGCTCACATTACGGAAGTAAAAACATGACAGCATTATAAAGCACAGCTGTCTAGTGTTACCTTTCAAGGGCTGCTCTCCGTTTTTCTACGAACTCAGTGGATGATGAATCTTCTTTACCCACTTTCACTTTGGTCATGCCTTTGAAAAAATTAAATGAGATTCATGATGATTTGACATTATTATAGAACAGTCCTTTCTAATTATTTTGGCATAATTTGAAATACTTTAAATTTGAACTTGACAAAAAAGCTCCTAAACTTATAACTAGAATTATACTTTTGAGAAATTAAAACTCATGATATATTAATATCTCTACTTGATAAAAACTTAGAAGAACAAATAAAGCAGAGGCTGAGCACTGACTTGGATCCTTATCTGTTACATAATACACTCCTGATAAATTAAAATGTATTTGCATTTCAATATGCATAATGGTATTCAAATTAGTCAATTTAAGTGCAATATTTTCATTTCTTATGACCAACAATTAAGGTTCTTTACTTTGAGGACTAGAAAAATAAAAGTAAGTGTAATCCGTAAGTTTGCTACCTATTTTACTTATTGCTATTTCTAAAAACATGTTCTTACTTATTTATAATAGGTGGTTTTATAACAGTTGAAATAACAAGCTCTTTCACAGAGACATTTAGAACTCTTCAAATTTAAAAAATAAAAATCACGTTAATCATTTCTGTATTGGCAATTTCAATCTTAACACTAATACATCACATGAAGATTTTTCTTTCTGTCCATGCTCTTTTTCTTTTCAAAAATCAATTCTGTAGAAGATCCATACTACAAAATAGAAGAACCTTGAAAATAGTATGTTAAGTCAAAGAAGCTTGTCATAAAGGATCATAAATTATATGATTCCCTTATAAGACTGTCCAGAACAGGCAAATCTACAGAGAAAGGAAAGTAAGTTAGTGATTGCCTAGAGCTGGGAGGTTGGGGAAATTTAAGAGGATGGTTGAGGGGTAATAAAATATTTCATTTTGTGATGATGTATGCACAATTCTGAATACATTAAAAGTCACTGAATTACACATTTTAAATGGATGAATTATGTGGCATGTGAATTATATCTCAATAAAGTCATTAAAAATGGATTACATAAAAGCAAGTCATTCTTATTCACGTTGGTACAACTTGTGAATAAGTAAGTATTACCTATGAATGTTTTGTTTAACAGAACTCCTTTGAAATACATTAGTTTGAAAAGAAAAAAAAACCCTAGAACTACCTACCCTGAATGGAGTACTAGATGTGGAATACTGATTATTTCACATACTCTGTTTCCCTGAAATATCTTACTACCCTGTAAGCTTTTTTTTCTGTCAAGAATATTCTACTTATGCTACTTCTTAGAAGTAACAGCTATGGACCATTATGGTAAATTAAAACCTTACTCTTAAACTGCATTACATGTTGTTGCCTCAAATCCTTTCTGGAATAAATTGTAGTATACAAATAAATAATTTTAAAACAATTTAATCCACCTTAAATGTGTATTAGACAATTCTACAATAATATAGCTTTGTATTATTTTTATGAAGTGAAGTTATTTTTTTTGGTAGAAAGTAAAAGAAGCCATAATTGTTTGAAAAAAATCATACCAAAATTAGAAGCAGAATAGGATAATGGTTAAGAGTACAAGCTCTGGAGTAGGATGACTGCACTCAAAGCTCAGCTCTGCCTCTCAATAGCTGTATGACATGGGTCATGTTACAGAACCTTGATGAACCTTACCTTCCTTACCTATTAAATAAGGACAATGATAAGTTAACCTCAAAGTTGTGAGGATTAACTGAGAGAATGCACATAAATTATTTAGCACAGTGCCTTAGCACACTAAGCACTCAATAAATGTTACTTATTCCTGTAACTTAATTGATAGTCTTAGAATATAATAGGCTATCCTGGACATATATACAGATAATTTGAACATAACTATATCACTGGCCCCTACTATCCTTCAAAGGCCGTGAGAATAAATATCAGAAAAGGATGCTCTTAGGATTTAGTTTCCTATTTCTATTTTGAAGGTAAATGTGCTATTATTGTATTGCAACAATTTGTAGAAGGTTGAAGGTTTCTAAGGCAAAACATTAGTTTGAAACATAGTGAACTTGGATATGAAAATTTAGTTTTTAAATCTGTCTTTGGGTCAATATTTAAGGACTAGAAGCATATCTAGCTATCAAAATGAGAAAAATGATTTGTTTTTCCTCTTTGGGTATATAAAAACAACTGCACAACTTAAAGTTAAAAGAAAAAAGGATATTAATAATAAATAATTTATGATAAATGAAACTCAAGTACAATGTCAAAAGTTAACAGAGCAATAGATTACAGAAGAGAGAAATAAGATTATTAACTAGATCAGCAGTTCTCAAAGTATGGTCAGAATACCTGGAAGGTTTCCGAGACTCCTTTACGGGGTTAGGAGAAGGTGTGTGTAAAAAACAGTTAATAATACTAAGCTATATTTTTCTTTTTTACTATCATTCTTTTATCAGAGCTTAGTGGCTTTACAAAGCTTATTTGATGTGTTGTATCACAACAGATGAGCGCAGGAGGAGAATGAAAGTACAGCTAGCTATCTTCTTTAAGCCAGAAATTAAGAGACTTACAAAAATATAAAAAATAAAACAAAAAACCACAAACTACTCTTATTATTAAATTCTTTTTGTCTAATAAAGTTATTTTTCACAAAAATTTTATTTAACAGGTATGAGGTTATTGCTATTTTTAAATGAATTGTAAATACAATTTAAAAAAATTCTCACACAATAAATATCAATAGCTACAGCCCAACAAAAGCAGAAGTTCTTTAAGGTTCTTAATAAATTTGAATCATGAATCATGTGAAGGGTCTTGAGTCCATGAAGTTGAAGAACCACACAATCTGATTTCTGAATTAAAAAAGGAAGTCTATACCAAATCCATTTAAATATATCAGGTTTCAAAATCATAAAAAAAAAAATCAATGAAATTACTTTCCAACAAAATGTTTAAAAAAGCGAAACCAGTAACTTAAAGATCAGCAAAATTCACTTTAAATATTTTTCAGGATAATAATATTATGCATAAAGGAAAATAAAAGTAAATAAAAACCTATGATTAAAAGGACTGAAATTAAGTGCTACTAAATATTAAGAGATGAGAGAGGTCTTTAAATGTTGGAACAGTGGCGATTCTTCTCTTTTATAGCTTTTTTGCACACTCTCAACTCAGCCTTTACTACTTGCAAAAGTAGAAATGTTTTTACATGTTAAATCAAGGTATGAAATAAACTAAGAGTGCTTATATTGCTACAGTAAGACCAAGGCTATATCAATCTTCTTTTTGGACAATGAATAGCTGAAAGCCAAACACTTCCATCCCTTAGAAAAATGTTAATATGCTAATATTAAATGTCCTTTGAGTGTTACTCTAATGGTACTCTAAATGGAACCTAAAATGTTGGAGTTTTCAACTGCTTGCAACTTCACAAACTGTGACCCAATATTTAACATCATCATTTTACATAAATCAAAATCCACAGGTGTTAGAAAATAAAACTATTAGTTTATACATTCTTGAGTTGAATCACTGAATTACACATTTTAAATGGATGAATTATGTGGCATGTGAATTATATCTCAATAAAGTCATTAAAAATGGATTACATAAAAGCAAGTCATTCTTATTCACGTTGGTACAACTTGTGAATAAGTATTACCTATGAATGTTTTGTTTAACAGAACTCCTTTGAAATACATTAGTTTGAAAAGAAAAAAAAACCCTAGAACTACCTACCCTGAATGGAGTACTAGATGTGGAATACTGATTATTTCACATACTCTGTTTCCCTGAAATATCTTACTACCCTGTAAGCTTTTTTTTCTGTCAAGAATATTCTACTTATGCTACTTCTTAGAAGTAACAGCTATGGACCATTATGGTAAATTAAAACCTTACTCTTAAACTGCATTACATGTTGTTGCCTCAAATCCTTTCTGGAATAAATTGTAGTATACAAATAAATAATTTTAAAACAATTTAATCCACCTTAAATGTGTATTAGACAATTCTACAATAATATAGCTTTGTATTATTTTTATGAAGTGAAGTTATTTTTTTTGGTAGAAAGTAAAAGAAGCCATAATTGTTTGAAAAAAATCATACCAAAATTAGAAGCAGAATAGGATAATGGTTAAGAGTACAAGCTCTGGAGTAGGATGACTGCACTCAAAGCTCAGCTCTGCCTCTCAATAGCTGTATGACATGGGTCATGTTACAGAACCTTGATGAACCTTACCTTCCTTACCTATTAAATAAGGACAATGATAAGTTAACCTCAAAGTTGTGAGGATTAACTGAGAGAATGCACATAAATTATTTAGCACAGTGCCTTAGCACACTAAGCACTCAATAAATGTTACTTATTCCTGTAACTTAATTGATAGTCTTAGAATATAATAGGCTATCCTGGACATATATACAGATAATTTGAACATAACTATATCACTGGCCCCTACTATCCTTCAAAGGCCGTGAGAATAAATATCAGAAAAGGATGCTCTTAGGATTTAGTTTCCTATTTCTATTTTGAAGGTAAATGTGCTATTATTGTATTGCAACAATTTGTAGAAGGTTGAAGGTTTCTAAGGCAAAACATTAGTTTGAAACATAGTGAACTTGGATATGAAAATTTAGTTTTTAAATCTGTCTTTGGGTCAATATTTAAGGACTAGAAGCATATCTAGCTATCAAAATGAGAAAAATGATTTGTTTTTCCTCTTTGGGTATATAAAAACTGCACAACTTAAAGTTAAAAGAAAAAAGGATATTAATAATAAATAATTTATGATAAATGAAACTCAAGTACAATGTCAAAAGTTAACAGAGCAATAGATTACAGAAGAGAGAAATAAGATTATTAACTAGATCAGCAGTTCTCAAAGTATGGTCAGAATACCTGGAAGGTTTCCGAGACTCCTTTACGGGGTTAGGAGAAGGTGTGTGTAAAAAACAGTTAATAATACTAAGCTATATTTTTCTTTTTTACTATCATTCTTTTATCAGAGCTTAGTGGCTTTACAAAGCTTATTTGATGTGTTGTATCACAACAGATGAGCGCAGGAGGAGAATGAAAGTACAGCTAGCTATCTTCTTTAAGCCAGAAATTAAGAGACTTACAAAAATGTAAAAAATAAAACAAAAAACCACAAACTACTCTTATTATTAAATTCTTTTTGTCTAATAAAGTTATTTTTCACAAAAATTTTATTTAACAGGTATGAGGTTATTGCTATTTTTAAATGAATTGTAAATACAATTTAAAAAAATTCTCACACAATAAATATCAATAGCTACAGCCCAACAAAAGCAGAAGTTCTTTAAGGTTCTTAATAAATTTGAATCATGAATCATGTGAAGGGTCTTGAGTCCATGAAGTTGAAGAACCACACAATCTGATTTCTGAATTAAAAAAGGAAGTCTATACCAAATCCATTTAAATATATCAGGTTTCAAAATCATAAAAAAAAAAATCAATGAAATTACTTTCCAACAAAATGTTTAAAAAAGCGAAACCAGTAACTTAAAGATCAGCAAAATTCACTTTAAATATTTTTCAGGATAATAATATTATGCATAAAGGAAAATAAAAGTAAATAAAAACCTATGATTAAAAGGACTGAAATTAAGTGCTACTAAATATTAAGAGATGAGAGAGGTCTTTAAATGTTGGAACAGTGGCGATTCTTCTCTTTTATAGCTTTTTTGCACACTCTCAACTCAGCCTTTACTACTTGCAAAAGTAGAAATGTTTTTACATGTTAAATCAAGGTATGAAATAAACTAAGAGTGCTTATATTGCTACAGTAAGACCAAGGCTATATCAATCTTCTTTTTGGACAATGAATAGCTGAAAGCCAAACACTTCCATCCCTTAGAAAAATGTTACTATGCTAATATTAAATGTCCTTTGAGTGTTACTCTAATGGTACTCTAAATGGAACCTAAAATGTTGGAGTTTTCAACTGCTTGCAACTTCACAAACTGTGACCCAATATTTAACATCATCATTTTACATAAATCAAAATCCACAGGTGTTAGAAAATAAAACTATTAGTTTATACATTCTTGAGTTGAATGATTGTCATAACTGGAATATTTAAGTTCAGTATCTCTGGACATTATGAGATGTCATAATAGAGAATGACCAAGGAATCCTTAATTTCTATTGTTAGAACTGAACAGCTAACAAAAATTCTTTATGATTCATACTTACCTACTATACTCTTTTCTGGAGCTGGTGGCACAATATAACCGACATGTAAATACTTGCTTGCTAACTTGCTATGCAAACCAAGAAAGTCACTGAATCTTCTTTTAACTGAAAATTCACTCTTACTGAACATGGGAAGAGAAGTCTACAAGTGAAGAAGAGGTGTATTTCAAACTTTGAGTATTAAGAAATTATTGTTTAATTACTTAAATAATTAAAAGGGCAAGGGACACCTCCACTTACATCTCACTGCCACATCAAATTTGTATTTTCCCCTGCTAGAACATAAGGTCCATGAGAGAAGGGCACTTGTCTGTACCGTTTACTACTATACCCCAATGCTTGGAATGGAGCCTGACTCCATGGTTAGTGTTTAAGAAACCTGTTCAGTGAATTAACAAATCTTACCATGTCCACACTGTGTTCCTCCCCTTGTGCTGCCTTTTCTCTGGGATCACTCTGACAGCCAGTGTTACTCTAGTCAGTATGTTAGGCACCCCTTCTTCCTTACATCCAAGCCCTACTGATTCTACCTCCTACACAACTCAAGAAACCACTTATTTTGCTCCACACTAGAATAATTTCTTTAGTACAAAGTATACTTCTCACAGTTAGGACTGCTGCAGACCCACTCTCTCTCTTTTAAGAACGGAAGTTCTACAAGTCTTTAAGAATTGCAATGACCTTTTAATTAGAAATCCTGACCTCTATTTTAACCCTTCCAATTCATACTGAATCAGAAAGATCTACTTTCTAAAATAAAAATCTAATTGTGCCACACTCTTGTTTGAACGTCTTCAATAGTTCTCCACTATATTCAGGAGGAAGCCTGGACTCTAATACAGGGAGGTTTACTGCTGAACAATTCAATCAGGTTTCACTTATTGCAGATCCTGAGAGGCACAATGCTTTCTTGACTTCTTGTTTTTACACAAATCCCTTTGACTGGATCAAGCATTCTTCTCTTTCTCCACCCCCCATCACTTCTCCTACCCTTGTCTTGAGTAGTCCCTTCCTGCATATTCTCACAGAACAGTACCTAGCAAACCACTCACAACTCACTGCAACTACTTACTTCAATCTTTGGTGGATGGTAACCTCTATAAAGACAGGGATCACTTACACCTTAACCACTATCATATCCTCATCTTAAACATACTGAGGACTTAGTATTTTTTAAAGGCGCAAAATGCTTACCTTTGTTGTTACTCTATATGCCATGTAAGCATTCATGCCATCACCTATGAGAAAAGTCAAACCATACTATTAAAAACAGCAACCTTAACCACACACACAAAGGTAACTAACTATGTGAGGTGATATGTTGATCGACTTGATTGTGGCAATCATACATATGTTACATCATCACATTGTATATCCTAAATATATACAGTTTTTGTCTGTCAATTATATATGAATAGAGCTAGGAAAAAATAAAGCCCAAAACCCCTACAAGCTTAAAAATAAAAGTGCCATTTTAATGCATTTTGCAAAGATAAACAGCACATTAACCACCAGGCTACTTGGCAAAAAGAAGTATAAAATAAAATATTGACTCACCAACTTTCTCTGGATCTGATACACCAATTTCAAAAACATCTCCATTTGCTTCTTCTTCAATCTAGAAAAGATATTTATCAAAGATTCCAATTTATACAATTGTAAGACTAATAACTGTAATTTTTGCCATCTATCTTTCATTAGGGTCACTGTCACATCAAACAATTTAAAAAGCCATTCAGCACTCCATTTCTGAAAAACAATAAAAAGCTTTAATATTTCCTTGTCCTTGGAACAGCTCCCACTGAGGGAAAAAAAAAGCTTTCATATTTCCTATGTAAAAAAAACACACATACAAAGAAGAGGAAAAGAATCAAGAATCATTTGGAGAAGTAACAGAAAATCTTTGTCTTTATAATTCCTCAGATGTAACAAGTTTGTCTTCTGTTAGAATTCTGTAGAATTTTTTGTCCTATATACTGAACCTACAGATTCAGATTATTAAACTCATTAACTAACCTTAATTAATTTTAGCATTTTTCAAAGTTTTATCTATACTCTTAACAAGTAGGAAGTAGCCATTACTTTTGCCGATAATATCCTACATACCTGCAGAAATTATTACAAGCAACTTTGGCATCATGATCTGTCTAGTTACCTAGTAAACACAAGTTCTTGAAGCCAATGAAAGCACTATGAAGCTCACTGAAAAAAGCAGTAAGTAGAAAAGATGATAATCCTGTGAAACTACAGAGGAGTACTTTGTAAATGCCTATAAATAAGCAATTCTATTAGCTCTGCAGGTAAGTTTTATTATTCTCAAGAAAAAAGCACAGAAATTGTTACATCTTACAAATTTTTTAAAGCAATATTAATAGTCTAAGACTACCCAAAGTGAGTTTTTCTAACCATAATCTTTTTCCAAGGTTGCTCTCTTGTACAGATTTTTAAAAGGTGAACCTTATTTTACTGAAACATACATAAGTCTACAAATCCTAACTAACTCCCACAAAGTGAACATATCCTTGCAACCAGATCCTAGGTCAAGAAAAATACCATCATTAGAGCCCAGGAGACCCTCTTATTTATGCTTTCCCTTCACTCACAACTCATCCTTAACCCTACCAACATACCTACTAACATTTACTGTATGCTTTTGTCATATAAAACTACTCAAAATACCACTTTCTTGTAGTTTTCAAAGCACTTTCATACAGTATCATATTTGACCAATACAGAAACGCTGAGAGGCACACATTACCATCTTAAGATCACAAATGACAAACACCTTGACTTAAGAAGGAAAGTGATATGCCCAAGTTACTAGACTAAAAAGTCCTGGGGAATATTAGAAGCCAAACCACCCAACTTCTTTAGTCCAGTGTTCTTTACCCAAAATATTTAAAAGGCTTTGATTAGAAATGACTAACAGGAGAGTGATGGTGGGTGGCAACAAAAAACTTACTTTTTACATATTAATTTAAAATACAAACATTTTTCCATACCTCCTCCCCGGATCTATCAAAGATCACAGGAGCAGACATACTCTTTGATTCAATTCTGGGTGCAATGAGTGTAGTAGGCGTCACAGGCGTGACTGCAGGAGACGGTTCTGAGGAGAGGATAGGTTCCCTTTCGGGACTGTCCAGAGAAACTTCTTCTGTGGCTTCTAATACAAATTAGGCAAGTTAGTTAATGCCACTTGTAACAAGCCTCCAACAGTCTATACAGTAGTTAATAAATTATGAAAAGTATTTTTATACTACCCAAAAACACATGTAAAAATGTTATATAAAAATTGTTAGAATTTTATGAATCCTTCCTTAGTTGTTTATTAAAGCTTTAAAACCAACAGTGACATTGTTGATTTTAGGAAGAATTCCAGTAAGTCAGCTTAATATCCAGACTAGTGGTAGGGAGAAAGCTAGTAGGAAAGCAATGATGTGGGCAATTCCACATGCATTTGTGTATGGATTTGTAATATATCTTACACTAGTGGTAACTTACCTTCCAAAATCTTTCATTCAAGCTAACTTCAAGGTTATTTTGTACATACAAAGGAATTTTACAGCAGAATGCTGCCCAGAACTATCCCAATTGGGATTAAAAATTGATTATGGAAATTACAAATAGTAATCCAAAGCAATTAACTGCTAAAAATTACCAGATATTAGTTGAATACACAAATATGAACAAAGCAAACAGGTGTTTTGGTTTTAATTTAAAATGCCCATTCACTTGAAAAATCTAAATTTAAACATATTTAAAACCAAATCAAATCAAGAAACTGAGTGTCTACAAACTATGTAACACTGTGCTAAATGCAATGGAGAAACAGAAAGAAATGTAAAATGTCATACCTTCCCTCAGAGAGCTTATAATCTATTTGGGAAAACAAGACATAAGCATGTGGAATGTTAAATAATAATAAAAGATAAAAAATAACCAAGAGAACAATAAAAGGAATGTTACAAAACATTTAATTGCAATAAGAATTACAGAACAAACATTACAATGTAAGTTGAGATAGGAAATACACTTTAGGCTGGGAAAAATCAGGAATAGTTCACAAAACTGATCTGAGAATACTTGGGTAGGAAGAGAAAAAACAGGGGAAGAATTCCTTGAAAATAAGTAATAGCACAGGCAAAAAGAAAGCCAGAAAAATGAAAATTATAACCAGATGTCATAGTGAAAATCACACTTCTGATGGTTTATAGAATTGATACCAGGAAAAGGCAGGCAGGACTATAAGGGAAACAAGATCAGGCCAGTGGTCTCTACTCTGAGATTCTCAGATTCCTAAACATTTGGGAAGGTAGTAATTATTATTCAGTGAGCCATTTTAATATGAATACCTCAAAAGCAGAGCAGTTGTAACATATTTATGTGATAAGGCCATTTATATTAAATACATTTACATTTACATGTAAACAGGTCAACATTTTATCAAGCTACTCTTACTGGTTATCTATGTCATGCTGATGACATTCTTACTCAGTACAGCTCCCTATGATTTTTATATTAAAAATAAAAATGATTAATAACCCAGACCTGTCAAACTATGGTAACCAGAGGAAGAAAAACAGACTACAGAGTTTGAGTAGACTACAGATGATCCTAATATAACAAACTAAAAGCTTCATGTAATTTCAGTCTGTTAAGATTGCTAATAGTTACTGATCTTTTAAAGAAATGAAACCAACAAGAAATATAGAAGAAAGAAAGCAGTATAGTATATCAAAGCTAGGAGGTGTGAGATCTTTATAAACAAGCAAAACAATGAGCAGCAAGGACAGAAACCTAAGATTCTCTGGAAGAGGTATTGCTATTGGCAGCAGACCAACAAGCAAAAACTGTGAAAGACACAGTAACTTTAGTGAGATACCAGTACAAAAAGTCATTTTTACTTTTCACATTTTACTTCACTAACAATAGGTTTTGTGTTCTTTGCATGGACTCTGACAGGCTGCTTCTTAAATATAAGAGACTTCAAAATAAGAAAAGCTAATATAGGCTCTACGAAGCTAATATGGAGGGCAAAAATGAACATTAATGGATATTTAGGTTCAGCACACTAATACAGCATGCCTTTAATTCTTCTCACAACATCTTTTAGCGAAAGCAAACTAATATACTACAAACTCACGAAGTTTAATTTAAACCAAACCTAAGGGTTCTGGAAAATGTCCTATAGGGCATCTTAACATCTTCCTGGGGGACATACTTTGAGGACAAGTATAAATTGATTATGTCAATATCAACTATATAATATTTCACTTGTATGACAAACACCCAAGAATTTTTGAACAAAAGAATACTCAATAACTTAAATTTGGTATCATTTGCTGAAAAGTACTGGTAAGTACCCCGACAGAAACAAGTTCTAAAAGTTTAGGACAATTTCAACATTGGCAACTTGCTAAAACCCTTACTCATTCCTCTTGGACAGCTTCTTAAAAGTATGCTCAGTGAAGCTTAGCACAGGACCAAACAAAAATGGTGAAGAGGGGCTCTAGAAAACCGTACCTGGTGAGAGCACTAGGTAGTAACAAAACTATGTCACATTTGACCTTTTTCTGGTATCACTTCTGACATAATAGTACTTGAAACGTTACCCAAAACACATTAACCTATAGACCAATACAATCTAATCTCCTATGGTTTTCAGATTAAAATGGCTAGAACACTAGAGCAATTTCTATAGTCTCTTCTCTGACACATGAGGAATAAATTAAGAATATGTTCTTATTACAGGACTACAGTTTTCCCCATCCTGGTAATATATGCTACTCTCTATTATGGATCTACCTAGGACCATACTCCATAGGAGGAAGAGTAAAATACCTGCTTAAAGGCATTATAAATAAGATACCAGTGTAGCATTATTTCCTTCACAAAAAGATGATCAGATTAGGTCTTAGAGCACCTAACGATGTCATTAGAAAGGCATCTGAGTTCATGATAAAAGATAAAGCATAAAAAGTATTTATGTTTGTAGGTAACAAAACAAATGACTGTTTATTGTTTAATCCCCATTTCTCCAATTTTGGTTTTTAAAAAAGAAAATAAACACTGACATCGACCACATTTGAATTACAGTATTCAGTACAGACTGCTCAGTAGACTAAAATATGAAGATTTTTCTAATCAATCTAAGTGGACAAATATCACTGTATAGTCCTCACTTGGCAAATATGAAGATTTTTCTAATCAATCTAAGTAGGCAAATATCACTGTATAGTCCTCACTTGGCAAGTTGTTTGATCCTATGTGCACACTATGAAAAAAAACACTCTATGCATACATACTCTCACAGTACTGTCATTAATGTACTCATAGAATTCTGACATGTCAAAGTGAAAGAGTCTTTAATAAAATGGATAATCTGTAACATCTTTGTATGACCCTAAACTATTAGAGGAATACACAAAAGTTTAATCACTACCTACTTAGTAGAGAAGAGATGGACTTGTGTCATCTTTTAGACTAAAACATAAATGCCATGAAAAGACTTTTAAGGACTTCCTGGAAGAAAAGTCTACAGAAGGAAATAAAAAGGAGTATTACAACTTTTGCTAGTTGTGATTTTACTCTAAATTGTTAGGTAGCTACCAAAAAAAGGGGGGTGCTGAATATGACTGATATTTAGTATCAATTTTCTGACATGATAACATACATGAATTTAACCTACAGACCAATACAATCTAATCTGTTTCTGTAATCTAATGAATTCATCTGCAGTGAAAACTTTTCATGAAACTAATCAAGCAGGAAATTATATGGACCTTTGTGATTAAAGAGTGTATCATCAAAGATACTTGTATAAAAATACAGAATGGTTTGAATATTCAAGCACTATAAACACATCATTACATTTTAACTCAATGAAACCCAAATGAGGTAAGTTAAGCTGTTAAACACAGATATTTACTATTTTGATTCTTTGTATCATTAATTCCACAGAAGAGTTTGCTTTTTAGTATCCAAACATTTGATTTTTCCTAAATTTTATCTTAAAGCAGATAACGTTTTGAAGAGGGTCCAGTATTTTTAAAAGTAGGATGACTATACCAAATCCTGCTTCCATATCAAAAATAAATTTTTCAAGCATCACTTTACTCACCTAAAAGTGAACCAAAATGGGAAATACTGGAGCATTTTATTAAAACAGATTTCAAATATATATAATTATAAATTAAGTGATTTTTAAATCCAGAGTTTCATTTTGCTTTGTGACAATTTATAATAAAGAATATAATCAGTGCTATTTCGCAAGGTATAAATGTCATAACCATTAATTAGTTGAGTCTAAGTACTAATCAAACAATCAAATTATTAGTATGTGGCTTATTTTCAAAAGCTTAACACTGTAAAGGATCACATATTTGCACCTCTCAACAGTCTATATTTTTCATAAAGCAATCTAATTGGAAATTTCCTATCCTAAGTTGTTAACAAAAGCTACCATACCTTACACAAAATTTCAGTTATGCTTTAGAGAATATTTTGTAATAGTATATATACTACAACTGGCTATTATTTTTTTAAAAAATAAAGATTTTTAAATTACCTGCAAAAAGATCTTCTCTGTCATCATCTAGCACAGCTTCGGCCGGTTTGGGACCATTGGAGTCTGCACTAAAGTCTTCTGTAGGAAGACTAGCTGGCTCAGGAGATGATGGACTTGACTGTTAAAAAAGGAGAATGGATTGGTGGGCTTCTGTTATATTCTGTCTCTATACACTACAGAAATAGCACATTCACTTGATAAGAAAGGAAGAAAGAACAAGAGCATCTATTTATAGTTTCTCCTCTGAGGTTAAAAATGAACCAAAAACACACTTCTACTCATCTTCCTTAACAAAAAGTCATTTAAGATTTAAAAAAAAGGTCACCTTTTTAGAGATAGTAATTCATTATGCTGACTTACAATTAACAAAAACAAATTTTAATGCTTTACATAGTCATATGTAATATTATTTTGTAATAGGCAAAATGAGATCTTGAAAACATGTTGCATGTATAAATAAGTTCAAATTACTGCTTTACTATAAGAAGATCTAATACTAGCTATATAGAATATGATTACTCTAAAATTTCTATAGCTTCAAACTAAAAATATTCCCTTTTCCCAAAGATTTACATTGCAACTAAGCTTAGGGACTATTTTTGAACTTCTTAACCTTAAAATATTGATGACCGACATATGGAATCAAGAATGTGAAGCTTTTAGCTTTATTATAGTTTGCTCATAATAAAATGAATACTCTCTTTTTAAAAAAAATAATATAAAAAGTAAATTGTACAGGTAGGTCAAATGCTGTAATCACACAGCTGGATATTTTCACAGAACCCAACATACCTGTGTGACCAGCACCCACATCAAGAAAGAGGACACTATCATCAACACCAGAAGCTCCACCCATGTTCCCTTCCCTTCTTTATCCTCTCTCCACCCAGGCTTCTACCAGCACGGATTATTTTTCGTGTTTTTGTTCTTCATAAAACTGGAATCATACAGAATATACTCTTTTGGGTTGGGTTTTGTTCTTAATGGTGTCTACATGAGATTCTTCTATACTGTTGTATTATTAATAAGATTATTCATTCCTGATGCTGTAAAATACTCCCTTGAGTGAAGAATGTACCACAACTGATCACTCTACTGTTCATGGGCATTTGGGTGGTTACCAGTTTTCACCACTACCAATAGTGCTGCATGAACTTTCTAATAATATATATGTATCTTTTTGGAAACTTGTGAACAAATTTCTATTTGTTACGTACTTAGGCATGGACTACCAGGATCACAGGATATGTGAATGTTCTGCTTTAGAAGAAAATACTAAACAATCTCATAAAGTGGCTGTATGATTCCCATTTCCACCAACCATGTGTGAGAATTTTAGCTGTTCCACATCCTTGTCAACACTTTGATATAGTCTTTTTCATTTTAGCTATTATGGCAGGTGTGGAGTATATTTTATTGTTGTTTGAATTTGTATTTCCCTGATGAATAATGATGCTGAGCCATTTTTCATATGTTTAACAACTATTTGAATATCCTCTTTTGCGAAAGGTCCCTTCAAGTATTTCGCCCATTTTTCTATTATTCTTACTGATTTGTGTAGGTTCCTTATGTATTCTGAATACAACTTCCTTGACAGATACATTTTCTCCAAGTCTGTGGCTTGCCTTTCCACTTTAATTGTAGATTTTGATGAACAGAAGGTCTTAATTTTAATAAGGGTAAATAATCAGTAAACTTTTCTTAAGATCAATAATCTTTTGAGGCCACTAATTAACAAAATTTTTTGATCAGTTATAACTAAATTATTATCTATGGCAAGAGGACATTTCTTCAGAGCTTTCAAAAACTGTTTCAGTTCCTTACGGGTAAATTTAAAGGAGAGCTTTTATTTTCTCTCAGGAGCTCATTTTTACAGACCCAAACTCTCACAAAGGCAGGCCTCCATTTACCCTAACTATTTTGCTTGAAGGAATTTAAAAACAAACTTGCTTCTTCTGGGAGATGTTCCTGACAACCTCAACCTCCCCTTTAGCCAAGCCTGGATAGATGACTGGCCTATATTCTATCCCATAGAATAGCTACTACTTCCCTCATAATTTCTCTTACCACAGCATAATTATTACCTATTTATAAACTAAAACCTGTAAAAGGAAATTAGAGTATCTTCTCTTGTTTACTGCTTTTCACTCAGTTCCTGGCAGCAAACACGCAATGATTATCTGCTAAATGAATTCTAAGAAGATCATCATGAATATGCTTATGAACTGGCCATGGATTTGTCAATCAGATTGTCTGTAATACTGAAGAGTTTGAAACAACCTAAAGCATGTCTACATTATGCTTTAACCACTCATGATAAACACTCACCAAACTAAGAATGCAGAGGAGCTTCCTGAACTTGAGAAAGGGTATCTATTAAAAAAACTACAGCTAACCAAACTTAATGGTGAGAAACTTGAAGCTTTCAAGAAGAAGGGAAGGATATTCCCTTTCACCACTGCTTTTAAACACTGTACTGGAAGTCCTGGCTAGTATAATAAGACAAGAAAAGGAAATATAAGGTATATATATTGGGAAGGAAGAACTACAACTGCCTTTGTTCACAGACAACCTGATCATCTAAGCAGAAATCCCAAAGAACTGACCAAAAAACTCCCAGAATAAGTAATTATAACAAAGTTGCAGCAAACAAGTTTTAAAACACAAAAGTTAATCACTTTCCTATATACTATTAATGAATAGAACTTGAAATTAAAAACACCACCATTTACATTAGCATCCCCCAAAATGACATATATAGATATAAACCTAACAAAATATGTGCAAGATTTATATGAGGAAAACTACAAAACTCGGATGAATAAATCAAGAGCTAAATAAGTGGAGATATATTCCATGTTCATGAATAGGAAGGCTAAATATTATCAAGATAGCAGTTCTTCCCACCTTGATCTACAGATTCAATGCAATCACAATCAAAATCACAGCAAGTTATTTTGTGAATATTGATTAAATGATCCTGAAGTTTATATGGAGAGGCAAAAGACCCAGAAGAGCCAACACAATGGTGAAGAAGAACAAAGAGGACTGAAGCTACCTGACTTCAAAACTTACTGTAAAGCTACAGTAATCAACACAGTGTGGTATTGGTGAAAGAATAACAGATTAATGGAATGGAAGAGAAAGCCCCAAAATGATGCACATAATTTAGACAACTGATCTTTGATAAAGGAGCAAAGGCAATACTATGGGGGAAAAAGTCTTTTCAACAAACAGTGCTGGAACAACTGGATATCCACGTGCAAAACATGAATCTAGACAGACTATACACTCTTCACAAAAATCCACTCAAAATGTATCATAGGCGTAAAGCCCAGATACACAAAATTCCTACAGGATAACATAGGAGAAAATCTAGATGACCTTGGGTTTGCCGATCAGTTTTTAGATGCAGCAACAAAGGCACAATTCATGAAAGAACTGATAACACAGACTTCATTAAAATCAAAACTTTCTGCTCTGTGAAAGATACCGTCTAGACAGTGGAAAAACAAGCCATAGTCTGGGGAAAAAAATATTTGCAAAAGACACTTCTGATAAAGAACTGCTACCCAAAATGCACAAAGAACTCTTAAAATTCAATAGTAAGAAAATGAATAAGCCAATTAAAAAACTGGCCAAAAACCTTAAGAGACACCTCCCAGAGACACATATGGCAAATAAGCACATGAAAGGATGCCCCACATCATACGTCATCAGGGAAATGCAAATTAAAACAATGAGATACCATTAAACCCCATAATGGTACATTTCTATACATCTATTAGAATGCTCAAAATATAGAACACTGACAGCACCAAATGCTGGGAAGGACGTGGAGCAATAGGAACACTCATTCTCTCAACTTTCAATGCATGGGAATGCAAAATAGTACGGCTCCTTCAAAAGACAATTTGGCAGTTTATTATAACCTAAATATACTCTTATATGGTCCAGCAATCACACTCTTTAGTATTAATCTAGAGGAGTTGAAAACTTATGTCCATACAAAAACCTGCACATGATGTTTACAGCAGCTTTCTTCTTTATAATTGTCAAAACTTGGAAGCAACTAAGATGTCCTTCAGTGGGTCAACAGGTAAATAAGTTGTGGTACATTCCAAACAATGGAATACTATTCAGCACTAAAAGGAAATGAGTTATTTAGCCATAAAGAGACACACAGGAAACGTCAATGAATATTACTAAGTGACAGAAGCCAGTCTGAAAAGTCTGACATTCTGGAACCATATAACATTCTGGAAAAGACAAAACTATGAAGACAGTAAAAAGATTCATGGGTTTGGGAGGGAGAGATGAACAGGCAGAACACCGAGGATTTTTTGGAAGTGAAACAACTCTGTAAATACTATAAGGGTGGATATATGTTATTACACATTTGTTTCAAGCCCACAAAATTTACACCACCAAAACTGAACCCTAATGTAAATTGTGGCCTTTGGGTGATTATAAACGTGTTAACAAGTTTCATCAGTTGTAACAAAGGTACCACTCCGGTGTAGAATGTTGATAATAAGGGATAGGTAACGCGTGTAGAGGGGCAGTATATGGGAAATCTCTGTACCTTCCATTGAATTTTGCTGGGAACTTAAAACTGCCCTAAAAAACAGAGTCTGCTACATTTAAAAAATGTAGCAGAATGGCATTTACTGACTCAGAAAGATGCTAGTAATATGCCATTATATGAGAAAAGTAAATACTTATAGATACGACCCAGTTTCCTAACATTTATTAAAAATAAATGTTCTTTGCTCTTTATCTCTGCTGAGAAAATAAGATATACTTGTACTGAGTAAGACAGTAAGGTCTTACATATAACATGAACACTCAAGTTTGCTTTAAACAAAGGTTTCTACCTTTAAAATTTCAAAATATTCTTGGAATCAGGAGCTCTGGATTGTCATACCACCTGCACACTAACTTTTCTATGGTTACATAATGGATTTCCTTGGATACCAATTTTTTGGTCTATATAATGAGATATAAACATAACATGAAATGTAACTATATAATAACATTAGATAATTGCTATTTTAACCTATTATTTCATAAATTTTAAATCGTCACCTGAGTTCCTGTTGCATTTCTCAACCTTGC